ATGTCGCGTTGTCGCGATGTCGCGTGTCGCGTTTTGGTTTATTTTGCCTCACTTTACTTGTTTTTGACAACGCGACAATGCGACATAGCGACAATGTCCCTTCTAGGATTCCATACATAACCATGTCAATGACAGTGAAAAAATAATTTTTCTTTGGCCCATGAGTTTAGCTGGTATATTGCTGAGTGCGGCGTAAAACTAAACTCACTCACTCACTCTTGTGAAACAGGTCAAAACTGTATGACGAGAACAAGGCAATCCCCAGTTATCTAACTAGAACCAAGAATGTTGGATACAATCCCAATGTCAATGTTGGTTTTATAGATGGTTCTGTACTGCTGGGTGTTACAGCAATCAGTGTCAACCAAGAAGTGTCATATCAAATCGGCTCAGACGTTTTATTCCAAGGGGAGGCTCTCAGAACCGAATTGTATGTGCGATGTGTTGAGGAGAAGAGCACCTCTGCTGGAGTCATTCGCTTGTATTAAGTAGGCTGGCCTGAAAAGTGAAACAGAAGGCTCTCTGTTTGGCCAGTCGCGTCCAACTCATGGTTTTGCGTCAATTTATAATTAAAATGAAATATATATTATGTAATAAATGTAATGAGACTGTCCAACACCCACAAACACAGACTTTCAAGAGACAAGATGGCGTTGCTCGGCCCTTTTATTACCGCCTTTGCCATGCTTGTGGTGTTGACTCTGAGGTCCATCCATGGTAGGACCAAGAATATGTAGAGGGCGTTATGAAAAATGACAATTACAAATTCTATGGAATAGGCCCATGTACACCCTCAGTCGTATCTAGCACAATAAACCCGACCTTGTTCTTTTTGATAAAACCAATGGAATTAGTTATGTAATTGCCTTTTCTGTTCCTTTTGACCGTAATGTGACAAGATTTAAGAAAAACATTGCTTTTTTATAATTTCTTTATTTTTGTTGCATTTGTACACATTTGCACATGTATATAATTGTCTATATAAACAATAGGTGACAAGATGACCAGAACTTAGTACATTGGTTAAGATGTCCGTTCATTTTTGCTGTGTATTTCATAAAGAAATAAATGCATGTGAGTTCTTCCTGGATCATTTCAAAATTCATTTGTTTTTATATGTTTTATTTTTTAAGATAAATTGTTTGCATACAATTATAAAAAGATTTATTGGTCCAAAATTTGGTAGCAGCGAGCCAAGAAGTATATCTTCCTTGTTTAGTTTAATGGATAAATCGGCTTTCTGATTGACCCATTTTTCAAATTGTGTCCAGATGGAACTATGTGTTTACAATACCAGAACAGATGATCAACTGTTTCGCTTTGATTATTACAATAACCACACAAATTGCTGTCTGCGTATCCCATTTTAAAGAGTAAGGAATTTGTTGGTAAGATATGATGAAGAATTTGATATTGAAACCATTGCTGTTTAGGAATTTGCAGGCATTTAGTTGGAATCATATTATATTTTTGTCTATCGGGTTCCAGCATTGTTTCTCCAAATATCAATTCCCCTTTTGGAAAGTGTTGATTACGTATACACCGAGTTTGTATAAGAGCTTCTTAGTAATATCGATTCCCTTTTACCGTTTTAAGTAGATGTATGATATTAAATGGCATCATAGGACATTCAAGATTTGTTTTAAAATTTGGAAAACCCCTTCCACGACAATATGTTTTGACAGATGCTAACACGCTGTTGAACTCTAGAAAACTGACATTAATGTCATAACGTTGCTTGAATTCTTCAAGGGTATGAAAATAACCATTTTCATTAATAAGATAACTAATAAAATGTATTCCTTTACTTTGCCACAGCTTTAATGAGATCGTTTTTATACCAATTGAAAAGTCGTCGTTCAGCCAAATACTTTTGGATAGCATATTAATTTCAGAATTATCTAACTGGCTAACCTTGTTTAAAAAATGAAACCAAGCAAAAAGCAAATCGGAGTAGTAAGAACTAGCAACATATTTTTGTATCCACGTTTGTGGATCATTCATTTTTGTCGTCCAGATATGTTTTCGAATATTTTTTGGCAGGTTTAATTCAAACAATTGTTTTGATTTGCTTGAAGTGTTTAAGCGGTGTCTCCGCAACATATAAATCTTTTGAGCCTGTATAAGTTCTTTAATTTGGGGGCAATTTATACCACCACCTTCGGTTTTGCAAATAAGTTGTGTCCTCTTGATTTTGTCAGGCTTGTTGCCCCAGAAGAATTTGAATATTTTCTTTTGGAACGGTTCTAATATCGAATCGGGAGGGTCTGGTAATGCTGAAAACAGGTGATTTAACCTAGGTTATATGAGGGATTTAAATATAGGATTTCTTCCGACAGGTGTCATGTTTCTTAATGACCATATAGGCATTATTGTTTCACAAGTTCTTAACTTATCTTTGAAATTCAATTCAATCATTTGGGTTAGGTCAGTGTCAAATGTTATACATAGAAGGTCAAAAGGTTGCTGGCTCCAATTGAACTTTTTTTCTTTTTCTTTTTTTTTTTGGGGGGAGGGGGGCATAGTTTCATCGTGATCGTTTCTTTGAACCAATCCATATTAATCTTGTTTTCTCGATATTAACTATTAACCCAGAGAACCGAGCAAAGAATGTCAATACCTGCAGAGTAGCAAGTAAACATCTTTCTGTGCCATCTAGAACATAAGTAGTATCATCTGCAAATTGGGAAAGTAAATGTTCTATATTCCCTATCGTTACTCCTTTTATGTTATCATTATTTCTGATAAGCGTAGCAAGTATTTCGGCACATAGCAGGAATATATAAGGTGAAAGGGGGTCGCCTTGGCGACCTCTGGCTATGTCAAAAAAATTATCCAAATCCATTTACTATCACACAAGATTGAATTCCGTTGTAGAAGATCTTAATCCAGTTTTTGATGGAATTTCCAAAACCGAAAAAGGTCAAGGTTTGTTGTATAAAACCCCAATCGACCGTATCGAAGGCTTTTTCAAAATCGATCAGTAATAAGAGACCTGGTATTTGATAGTTTTCTGTGAATTCCATAAGGTCATAAATTTGACGAGTTATTTCCCCGATATATCTTCCAGACATGAACCCTTTTTAACCTTCATTTATAAGGTATCTAATACAGTCCTAATTCTGTTAACTCTGTTTCTTAAGAAAAACATGGCAAATATGCGGACCTCGCCTTTGAAATGTCTCACTTGCATCACAAGTACACTGTCGTCAAGCTACCCATTGTTCTCGGTGCCCTTGGTTTGGTACCTCCTGATGGTACCTCTTTGTGCCGATTAGGAGAGTGCCCGGATTCTCCACCGGGAGCACAGCCCTTCTGGCACTCTGGGTAATGCAGAAGCCATGTTGGAAAGTCTACATATTCTCTTGAAAGTTCTTGGTGGGTTCGATTGGGCAGCGCTTCCTGGGAGAAGTCCCATTCGCTGTCTGGGCTGCGTGTAATGGGTGCAAGGGCCCTGAGCTGATGATGATCCTTACCAGCCTGACTGTGCCAGGATCACCCAAAACCTCTTTGCATCATTCATCTATTTAAATATGTAAAACACAATGCGCAGCACCTAACCTTGCAGTGGTCGTTACTCTGACAATCTATTTTCACTGAACATAACCTTGACATTATTTCTTTTTTCAATTACCATCAAATCTGTAATCCTATCGTAAATAATTTCAAATATTTGTTGATGACCCCTACAAGGTTTCAACTGTAACACAGAACCTGTATTGTATTGAGATGATAGGGGAGGTCTCGGCAAGAGAAAACTGATACGATATGAGAGGAAACGATATGGTCGTCTATTGTGTATCGAGTAACATCGTTCAAAAAGCATCGAGATCTTGTCTCTGTTGGTTTAATACCTACTATACCACCATGTGTTTTGCTTACTGAGTGACTGAGTTTAGTTTTACGCCGCACTCAGCAATATTCCAGCTATATGGCGGCAGTCTGTAAATAATCGAGTCTGGACCAGACAATCCAGTGATCAACAGACAGTGGTATGTAATACGACGGACAGAGATGGTCAAGTGGTCTAAGGCGCAGCCAATCACCCTCATTATGTTTCGCTTTTTATCAACACAGTATCCATTTTCACGGGTTTAACCAACATGGGAAACTTTTAAAGCCTAGGTCGTCTTAGACTAACGCTTAGTCTCTGAAAATATATAATTTTGATAGTAACAAACAAACCCATTTAAATTGAAAAGGAGCCCCAGGGAGACCAGAGATTCAAAACCTGAATATCTAGACTTGCTTCATTTAGGGCTTTAGCATTGCAGGGAGGGCTAGACAGAGGGGGAGATAATATGGTTCAGGGACTGTGAGACTGACTAAGGACGTCAAAGATCACTCCGGTTTTCTCACACATCAGTGCCGGGGACATCACCCCTTGACACTGAAAACTGCCAGGTGTCTAGGAGAGAGAGAGAGTTTTATTCAGTAAAGGGGCCACAGGCCCATTATACATCAGATGTACAGAATATACAATTATTGGAGCACCAGGTGTCTGGGAAAACGTCCCCCTTGCAGCAACCGACACCCTTTGCGTGAAATCTGTTTGTTGAAACCCGAAATTCAAGCCAAACCGTGAAACACTGTTCATAACGGCGTTAAACCTCACTCACTCATACACAAGCAACATTATTTATAAAGGTTTAACTCTTTGCAAAAGATTGACCCAAACAATAAATGAAACTTAACGTAATACTTCATTTTCATCTTTACAGTCAGAAGCATCCAGTTGACAGCTTTCACTATGGATGAGATTTGTTGATATTTAATTTCTTCCCAGAAAAATTGAAAAGAGTAATTTTGTTTCAAAAAACTTGTTGGATGTTGTGTGCCTGAAATATGTGACGTGAATGAAAACATAACTTGTTTGGCTTTCAATGAACTGGTTGGATGTATACTCAGCAGCTGGATAAATATTATCTCTTTATAATAAATTAAATATATATAACAATTAATTACCACAGTATGTGCTACAGTAATGACAAAGCCACATGGTGGGTGATAATTATTTATTAAATCTTACGCTCACTACCGTGCAGAGGAAATATACACCTTTGTGTGGTGGTGATTCAAAACGACATTTATCGCATCATCATGTATTTTATATTTAAATGTTGGACCTGTACTTTGCAATGATGCGGTGACCTTTTGAATGTTTTGGTCAAGTCCTTTTAAAGTGCATACATTCCTCTGCCCGGCAGTTTAAAACATATCTTCCACGCAATATTACAGCTAAATGACGACTGTCTGAAAGTGATCAAGAACGAGGGTATGATGATAACAAAACGATGTCTACAAACACCCGCCAGATCACAGCCTTACACCCATGGAAGTTGGTGGTGATTGCAAGCATGACGTACTGGAGACCTAATCTGCCAAGGGTCCCCCTGAATGAGATGCAGCAAGTGGTGATTGCAAGCATGACGTACTGGAGACCTAATCTGCCAAGGGTCCCCCTGAATGAGATGCAGCAAGATGGTTATATACAAGATGGGAATAAAACACAAACAAATGTTTGGTACTAACATATGATAAGTATATACAGAGTAGTTTTAAAATAACAAACGACTTGTGAACCATCCTCTTTTATCAAGTGTATTATATTACCATTCCGTATTAAAAAATGTCCTTGACCCCTACGCCACCATGGCTTCGTTTTTCCCCTGATTGGAATGGCATGACACTAAAATATATCAAATTATTTTCATGAACGAAATGTGAATTCTGCCAAAAAAGCTATGAAATTGCTATAAAGAACCAAAGCTATACAGAATAGGCCTGGAGTGTTTACCAAAACACAATGGCGATATAATTCCCTTGATGACCGAGGATGGTTACAATGGATACCTTAACCATTCAACAAATTCAGCAGACATCGCACCTGCCCCTGAGAAAAGACTTTATGTATTCTGTTTGTTACATTTCATTCGTTGGTAGTGTACGGCGTGCCGTAAATCCTTCAGCGTGAATGAATAGATGACCGATTTCCCACACGAGACAATATACACAAGTAAAGGCACATAGGAATACATATTACCGTATTTCCTCTAATAAGTGCCCGGGCGCTTATTAATTCAGCAAACTCTCACCCCCTGTGGTTAATAGGGGCCGGCTTTCTGGAGGCCCCGCGCTTAAATTTTCAACGGAAATGAATATAGATTCTTTATTGGTATTATATTTGAAAACTCCATTGTAAACATGTGGCACACCCGGCGCTTACTCGATACCCGGCGCTTGTTTCTTGAACAGTTGCTTTACTCTCATGCGCTTATTGGAGGCAGGCGCTTACTAGAGATCCGGCGCGTATTAGAGGAAATAGGTATTTAAAGGGCAGTTGGCTTAACGGTCTGTGCGTATTTCGACACTTTCCTGCTGTATCACCAGGCACAGGCAAGCTGTAGCGTAAACGGAGTGAAGGAACAGGGGAGGTAAATCTAAATACACTTGTTGAATCACATGTCCGCTATATGGAATACATGTGGGGTTACTTCCCTTGCTTTCATTCACCCGCTACGCCAGAAGTGTCTTCTTTGTAGAATAAATGTTATGAAAATTCTAACAATAACGACGGCAGATTGCCGGATGTTCTTTGGGGTTCATCTATGCACAGATGATTCTCCCACACAGTTTAAGCGAGTGATCACAATGGAAAGCAGGGGTGGATGGAGGGAGTTTCGCCTCTTCGGTGTGCCATAAACCCATGATCGTGGGATCGAATCCCAATTAGCCCCTGATGTGTCTTGGTTTGTTAGCACCATACACTCGTGGGCTTCACCGCAGACGTAAACACCTAACGCCTGCATCATTTACGACAATTCACTACATCATACTGACATGCCGTGATGTAACTGGAGTGATTGAGTTTAGTTTTACGCCGTTTTTAGCAATATTTTTTTTTGGGGTGGTGTGTGTGTGTGTGTGTGTGTTTTTTGTGTTTTTTTTGTTTTTTTGTGTGTGTTGTGTTCCGACCCCACCTCTCTGGATCCGCCACTGTTACTGTAGCAAAGATGCACGACTATCATGGAAACTACACAGCCAGATGATCCGGTGATCGCGATGCCTATGCAGTTGTCATGATGCTTTGAAACAATTCACAACGCTGTAAATATTTTAAATATTATGACGTTGTTCGCTCCTGTGAACATCCCTCGTTGACCTTCACCTTTCCGTGACCTTCACCTCGAACACTCAACGTCAGTGGTTGTGAACCGAGTGTGGGGGCGCCACTTGAAAAAGCTTTTGAACAAATCTAGTGAATGAATCTGAAAAGAAAAAAATACGATTTAAATCTTGCGAACAGGTGAGGGTACCTCTAGATCGAACCACCCAGAAAGACATTTCGGCCCGAACGCGCCGCAAACACCGACGGCGGCCTAAGGGACCGTTCATAATTTATGGCTAAGGGGGATGATGGTGATTTTTTTTTTTTTAAATTAGGGGGGTGGGGGTGTCGTGTGTGTGTTGTGTGTTGTGTGTGTGTGTGTGTGTGTGTGTGTGTGTGTGTGTGTGTGTGTGTGTGTGTGTGTGTGTGTGTGTGTGTGTGTGTGTGTGTGTGTGTGCCAGCAATTTCTTACATAAAAATATGTCTAAAATTATGCTTAGAAATTATGGAGCATAATGATTTTGTACATGACATGCAAGGGGGTCACTTATTTTGTACATAAAGTTTAGGGGGGGGTCATTCACATTGTACATGCTTCTCCATAAAAATCATCACCAGCCCCCTAGCCATAAATTATGAACGGTCCCTAAGACAGGAGATTTATTACTGACTGAGTTTGGTTTTACGCCGCTTTTAGCAATATTCCATCAATATCACGGCGATGGACACCAAAAATGGGCTGCACACAGTGTACCCATATGAGGAATCGAACCCGGGCCTTGGCGTCACGAGCGACCCACTAGGCTACCCCACCGTCCCAGGCAGGAGGTTGACTTCTTCGTTTCTTGAATTCATACCGGTACACATTTTTAATTACTTTCCTTTGTTGAAACAGGAACCATGGATACTGCTCCACGCTAGGATGATTCACATTCACAAGTTCTTACCAAAACAGTTTAGCATATTTCACAGACTATTCATGATAAGAAGAGCTGTCATTTCAGATAGATCACCCTGGTTGTATCATAAAGCTATCACCACACAATCGACCTGAATACAACCACTCACGTCGGAGTATATTCACTGCCGTCACGGACAATGAGCGTGACCGCATTCAACGATATAAGTAAGGTAAACTGTATTCTTCAACCACATCTGCTTGACAACCGCACGCTTCACGATTGACCTGGTAATTAATTTATCCCCTACGTATAGAGGACAGAGTAAATCCGTGGCAACCGCTCACGCCCACAGCTGAATTCCACCCGCTCGTGTTTGCCGCCAGGACAATAGTGAGAGATCCTTTGTCATGTCATTTGGCGGGAGGAAGTTTGTTTTGTGAATGAAAGAAATCTGGTCTGTACGCCTTACAGTGAAGATAGGGAGCAAGCATTGATTCTATCGGGAGAAGGCTTGGGGGCTGAGATGTTTCATTGATATTTTGTCAGTCGGCTCTTCAGGACGTACATCTTTTCTTTAAGAAGTAATATTTTTCATAACATGCATAATATACATGAATACTTTTCTCACACTATTCCCACAAAAGAAGTCTAAAGAAATGTTGTAAACAGTCCAGACAAAAAGCACCCCTAAATCACCCCATCCCATCCGAACACTATCTACACAATCCCCACCCACACTTAGGACACCATAAATATTTGTTGTATTTTATGAGGAAAAAACACCACCATACCCACCCTACCTATCAACACAATAACAATACCCAACCAGCACAACCTAAGCCACACCACAACTCATAGTCCAGCACACACAAACTTGCAGCATGACTGAACACTCTCAGGGGACAAGACCAGCTGCTTCTCTTCACCAGGAACAATATGTTTTACGTGGGCTGCCAGATTTCAATACAGATACGATTCTATGAAGCCCGATAGTTGTGTGATGTAAGTATAGTTTTACGCCGCTTGTAGCAATATTCCAGTAAAATCACGACAGAGGACACCAGGAATGGTCTTCATACATTGCATCCACATGAGGACTCGAACCCATGTTTTCGCGTGACGAATGAACACTTTAACCACTAGGCTATAGCCGGATACCTATGTGATGGACGTGAGAGTGTATGCGTATTTCAAAGCGAGGTTTGTACGTACCGACGCCGGGTACAGACAGTTTATAGTAGACGAAGGGGAAATAGAAGAAGCAGCCCGCTGGCGATGAACATGAGCGCGTACAGGAACTCCATCCGGGGATCGTGGACGATGGGGGCGATGACCAAATATATTGATGCCAACACCACCAGGACGGGAACGACGATGGGAACCTGCAACATAAAGGGAGGTAATTCTGACAGTGACGCAGATTATACGTGCCTTGAAGTATTTAGCCGTGTATTGTCATACATTGTAGTTGTATTTGTAGTCTGTCATACAGAGTCTGTCATACAGACCCTGAAACAAATACAGCCGATGGAAGTCTCCACAAGTTTCCTTGTGTATACTTTCTTTTGTCCGTCAGTTTATCTGCATTCGATAAACAAATAGTGAATATATAGTGAAATGAAAAGACCTCTCTTGGTCTTTTGCATAATTAAATACAACAATCATTTCAAATTCACAACATACCTGTGGATCACAACAACATGTTAAAGTTGTTGCCTGACATGGTGAGTGCTAGTCCTCTGACACATGTAGTTTTTATAGAGAGCAGTCACGTGACCTGCCTCTGCAACATTTGCAGGGACTGCATGTGCCAAAGCCCAGGACGTACCAGTCAGACCACATGTAAGGTGAGCTGTTTACACTTACATCAGAGCGAGTGCTGGAAAGTATGGTGCAGTGTTAGTGACAAACAGACTTTAGCCTATGACAACACTATTGCGTTTCTTTGGTTGATGTTTTATTGTATTCTTAATGCAGATTTGTACGCAAGCAATTCAACTTAATTAGGTAACGGTACGTTAATAGGTAACTTACATCAAGATGTGCCGGTTACGACACCACAAATTTGATTCATCAAAACTATCAGAATAATAACTGAAGACATTTGGATGAAGCGACTATAAGATTAGAATAAACAAATTGTATACTGATGTACAAAAGAAAGTACACACCTGGTGTTTTGAGACTATTAAAACAACGTAAATATGTTGCTAGCAATGTTCCAATTGGGTACGATATCTATGGTGTTATTGCAACACGTACACAATGTTTGTGACTTGTGAGTCGCAATCAAAACACTTTTCTAAATATTACGCTGTTTTCAGGAAAACATTTTACCAAAGCATCAGGTGTATACTTTCTTTTGCACGTCAGTATCCTTTCTTCCCAATATATTCACGGGAAATACTGACTTGAACAAACCGTTCAGCTAGCGGAAAAATCTTTCAAGTTTCTGACATTGCTCCTAAATCAAAGCTTCCTAACCTGGCGGACAAAGTGCGGAGGTGATTACATTACGCCGATACTGAAGTCATTACACTGGCTTCCGGTTGAGGCGAGGATAGTGTTCAAAGTACTCTGTATCACATAAAAGAATCTAAAAGGCATGTCACCAGAATATCTAAGTGAACTGCTATCCCCTACAAACCACCCAGACAACTGCGATCTGAAAGCAAATTCTTATTGAAAACTCCTTCTTATAGACTGGCCTCATAAGGAAAGCGTTCTTTCAGCGTTAGTGCTTCATCGATGTGGAATGAACTGCCTCTCGCCTTAAACCTGTCCCCATCAGTTGCTGCGTTCAAATCACATCTTAAAACGCATATCTTTTCACTGAACTATTAACTCTACTCAAATATTATTACTATTATTTTGTAGCGCTTTGAGCACCCACTTAGTGTTTGGATTTAGAACTCTATAAATTTTCAGTATTATTATTATTACCAAAATTGTGACAGGATCCGTCTAAAGTGGTTCGAATCCAATATTATCATCCTGTGTGTGTTAACGCCATTCAAAAGCACGGATGTTTATCCAGCATTTAGCTGGCACACCGTCAAATTACTGAAATACTGTTCACGGTGACTTTAACCAAAGCTGCAGTTCCTCCCTCACTGTATAGACTATAGGTGATGCTCTATGTAGTCTAGACACCAACCTTGTAGTTCCTCCCTCGCTATATAAACTATAGGTGATGCTCTATGTAGTCTAGACACCAACCTTGTAGTTCCTCCCTCGCTATATAAACTATAGGTGATGCTCTATGTAGTCTAGACACCAACCTTGTAGTTCCTCCCTCACTATATAGACTATAGGTGATGCTCTATGTAGTCTAGACACCAAAGTTCCTTCTATAGGTGATGCTATATAGACACCAAAACTACAGGTGATGCTCTCTAGGACACCAACCTTGTAGTTCCTCCCCTCACTATATAGACTATAGGTGATGCTCTATGTAGTCTAGACACCAACCTTGTAGTTCCTCCCTCACTATATAGACTATAGGTGATGCTCTATGTAGTCTAGACACCAACCTTGTAGTTCCTCCCTCACTATATAGACTATAGGTGATGCTCTATGTAGTCTAGACACCAACCTTGTAGTTCCTCCCTCACTATATAGACTATAGGTGATGCTCTATGTAGTCTAGACACCAACCTTGTAGTTCCTCCCTCACTATATAGACTATAGGTGATGCTCTATGTAGTCTAGACACCAACCTTGTAGTTCCTCCCTCACTATATAGACTATAGGTGATGCTCTATGTAGTCTAGACACCAACCTTGTAGTTCCTCCCTCACTATATAGACTTGTAGTTCCTCTATGTAGTCTAGACACCAAACTTGTAGTTCCTCCTCACTATATATAAACTATAGGTGATGCTCTAGTCTAGACACCAACCTTGTAGTTCCTCCCTCACTATATAGACTATAGGTGATGCTCTAGTTCCTCCCTCACTATATAAACTATAGGTGATGCTCTATGTAGTCTAGACACCAACCTTGTAGTTCCTCCCTCACTATATAAACTATAGGTGATGCTCTATGTAGTCTAGACACCAACCTTGTAGTTCCTCCCTCACTATATAGACTATAGGTGATGCTCTATGTAGTCTAGACACCTGTAGTCTAGACACCAACCTTGTAGTTCCTCCCTCACTATATAGACTATAGGTGATGCTCTATGTAGTCTAGACACCAAACTTGTAGTTCCTCCCTCACTATATAGACTATAGGTGATGCTCTATGTAGTCTAGACACCAACCTTGTAGTTCCTCCCTCACTATATACTATAGGTGATGCTCTATGTAGTCTAGACACCAACCTTGTAGTTCCTCCCTCACTATATAGACTATAGGTGATGCTCTAGTAGTCAGACACCAACCTTGTAGTTCCTCCCTCCTCTATAGGTGACTATATAGTACTATAGGTGATGCTCTATGTAGTCTAGACACCAACCTTGTAGTTCCTCCCTCACTATATAGACTATAGGTGATGCTCTATGTAGTCTAGACACCAACCTTGTAGTTCCTCCCTCACTATATAGACTATAGGTGATGCTCTATGTAGTCTAGACACCAACCTTGTAGTTCCTCCCTCACTATATAGACTATAGGTGATGCTCTATGTAGTCTAGACACCAACCTTGTAGTTCCTCCCTCACTATATAGACTATAGGTGATGCTCTATGTAGTCTAGACACCAACCTTGTAGTTCCTCCCTCACTATATAGACTATAGGTGATGCTCTATGTAGTCTAGACACCAACCTTGTAGTTCCTCCCTCACTATATAGACTATAGGTGATGCTCTATGTAGTCTAGACACCAACCTTGTAGTTCCTCCCTCACTATATAGACTATAGGTGATGCTCTATGTAGTCTAGACACCAACCTTGTAGTTCCTCCCTCACTATATAGACTATAGGTGATGCTCTATGTAGTCTAGACACCAAACTTGTAGTTCCTCCCTCACTATATAGACTATAGGTGATGCTCTATGTAGTCTAGACACCAACCTTGTAGTTCCTCCCTCACTATATAGACTATAGGTGATGCTCTATGTAGTCTAGACACCAACCTTGTAGTTCCTCCCTCACTATATAGACTATAGGTGATGCTCTATGTAGTCTAGACACCAACCTTGTAGTTCCTCCCTCACTATATAGACTATAGGTGATGCTCATATGTAGTCTAGACACCAACCTTGTAGTTCCTCCCTCACTATATAGACTATAGGTGATGCTCTATGTAGTCTAGACACCAACCTTGTAGTTCCTCCCTCACTATATAGACTATAGGTGATGCTCTATGTAGTCTAGACACCAACCTTGTAGTTCCTCCCTCACTATATAGACTATAGGTGATGCTCTATGTAGTCTAGACACCAACCTTGTAGTTCCTCCCTCACTATATAGACTATAGGTGATGCTCTATGTAGTCTAGACACCAACCTTGTAGTTCCTCCCTCACTATATAGACTATAGGTGATGCTCTATGTAGTCTAGACACCAACCTTGTAGTTCCTCCCTCACTATATAGACTATAGGTGATGCTCTATGTAGTCTAGACACCAACCTTGTAGTTCCTCCCTCACTATATAGACTATAGGTGATGCTCTATGTAGTCTAGACACCAACCTTGTAGTTCCTCCCTCACTATATAGACTATAGGTGATGCTCTATGTAGTCTAGACACCAACCTTGTAGTTCCTCCCTCACTATATAGACTATAGGTGATGCTCTATGTAGTCTAGACACCAACCTTGTAGTTCCTCCCTCACTATATAGACTATAGGTGATGCTCTATGTAGTCTAGACACCAACCTTGTAGTTCCCTCCCTCACTATATAGACTATAGGTGATGCTCTATGTAGTCTAGACACCAACCTTGTAGTTCCTCCCTCACTATATAGACTATAGGTGATGCTCTATGTAGTCTAGACACCAACCTTGTAGTTCCTCCCTCACTATATAGACTATAGGTGATGCTCTATGTAGTCTAGACACCAACCTTGTAGTTCCTCCCTCACTATATAGACTATAGGTGATGCTCTATGTAGTCTAGACACCAACCTTGTAGTTCCTCCCTCACTATATATATAGACTATAGGTGATGCTCTATGTAGTCTAGACACCAACCTTGTAGTTCCTCCCTCACTATATAGACTATAGGTGATGCTCTATGTAGTCTAGACACCAACCTTGTAGTTCCTCCCTCACTATATAGACTATAGGTGATGCTCTATGTAGTCTAGACACCAACCTTGTAGTTCCTCCCTCACTATATAGACTATAGGTGATGCTCTATGTAGTCTAGACACCAACCTTGTAGTTCCTCCCTCACTATATAGACTATAGGTGATGCTCTATGTAGTCTAGACACCAACCTTGTAGTTCCTCCCCTCACTATATAGACTATAGGTGATGCTCTATGTAGTCTAGACACCAACCTTGTAGTTCCTCCTCACTATATAGACTATAGGTGATGCTCTATGTAGTCTAGACACCAACCTTGTAGTTCCTCCCTCACTATATAGACTATAGGTGATGCTCTATGTAGTCTAGACACCAACCTTGTAGTTCCTCCCTCACTATATAGACTATAGGTGATGCTCTATGTAGTCTAGACACCAACCTTGTAGTTCCTCCCTCACTATATAGACTATAGGTGATGCTCTATGTAGTCTAGACACCAACCTTGTAGTTCCTCCCTCACTATATAGACTATAGGTGATGCTCTATGTAGTCTAGACACCAACCTTGTAGTTCCTCCCTCACTATATAGACTATAGGTGATGCTCTATGTAGTCTAGACACCAACCTTGTAGTTCCTCCCTCACTATATAGACTATAGGTGATGCTCTATGTAGTCTAGACACCAACCTTGTAGTTCCTCCCTCACTATATAGACTATAGGTGATGCTCTATGTAGTCTAGACACCAACCTTGTAGTTCCTCCCTCACTATATAGACTATAGGTGATGCTCTATGTAGTCTAGACACCAACCTTGTAGTTCCTCCCTCACTATATAGACTATAGGTGATGCTCTATGTAGTCTAGACACCAACCTTGTAGTTCCTCCCTCACTATATAGACTATAGGTGATGCTCTATGTAGTCTAGACACCAACCTTGTAGTTCCTCCCTCACTATATAGACTATAGGTGATGCTCTATGTAGTCTAGACACCAACCTTGTAGTTCCTCCCTCACTATATAGACTATAGGTGATGCTCTATGTAGTCTAGACACCAACCTTGTAGTTCCTCCCCTCACTATATAGACTATAGGTGATGCTCTATGTAGTCTAGACACCAACCTTGTAGTTCCTCCCTCACTATATAGACTATAGGTGATGCTCTATGTAGTCTAGACACCAACCTTGTAGTTCCTCCCTCACTATATAGACTATAGGTGATGCTCTATGTAGTCTAGACACCAACCTTGTAGTTCCTCCCTCACTATATAGACTATAGGTGATGCTCTATGTAGTCTAGACACCAACCTTGTAGTTCCTCCCTCACTATATAGACTATAGGTGATGCTCTATGTAGTCTAGACACCAACCTTGTAGTTCCTCCCTCACTATATAGACTATAGGTGATGCTCTATGTAGTCTAGACACCAACCTTGTAGTTCCTCCCTCACTATATAGACTATAGGTGATGCTCTATGTAGTCTAGACACCAACCTTGTAGTTCCTCCCTCACTATATAGACTATAGGTGATGCTCTATGTAGTCTAGACACCAACCTTGTAGTTCCTCCCTCACTATATAGACTATAGGTGATGCTCTATGTAGTCTAGACACCAACCTTGTAGTTCCTCCCTCACTATATAGACTATAGGTGATGCTCTATGTAGTCTAGACACCAACCTTGTAGTTCCTCCCTCACTATATAGACTATAGGTGATGCTCTATGTAGTCTAGACACCAACCTTGTAGTTCCTCCCTCACTATATAGACTATAGGTGATGCTCTATAGTAGTCTAGACTATAGGTGACCTAGAACAACCTTGTAGTTCCTCCCTCACTATATAGACTATAGGTGATGCTCTATGTAGTCTAGACACCAACCTTGTAGTTCCTCCCTCACTATATAGACTATAGGTGATGCTCTATGTAGTCTAGACACCAACCTTGTAGTTCCTCCCTCACTATATAGACTATAGGTGATGCTCTATGTAGTCTAGACACCAACCTTGTATGGACGTGGCAGGTCTGGCTGGGTGTACCGTAGCACTATGCAGGAAGCACACGTGAGGCCGTAGAACAGCCAAGCAGCAAACCCGAAGAAGCTGATCAGTGTACTGAGATCACTGGGCAGAATCATCAGCATCCCCACAGCTGTCTGCAATCGGATGTTGTCAGTTTATCAAGTATCACTTTCCCAGTAATCGCAAGGATTACATGTTACATACATTTCGTTTCTTTCAGGGTGATGACAGCAACCCAGAGCAGTAACATTTACCCTCGTCACTCTGGGTCACTATATTAACAGAAAAAGTAACCTTGTAAAGCTCATTTAAAATAATTCTTTTGTCTGGATCAGACCATCCAGTGTGGCATCATGAGTAATAGGAAACCGATGACATGTGTGAACCAAGTCGGCGAGCCTGACCACCCGATCCCGTTAGTCGCCTCTTAAGACAAGCATGGGTTGCTGAAGATCAATTCTAACCGGGTTCACGGGTTCGTCTCTTTGGAGACGTTATCTACCCCAGGGCATCGGATTGGTACATGTTCAGAATCGATATCAGAGAGCCCATTCATAGCTCAAACAACAATTCCTGGGTTGAGACCTGTAGAGTCGCAGAACATTACGTATCTGAGTGAGTGAGTGAGTGAGTGAGTTGGGTTTTACGCCGCTTTTAGCAATATTCCAGCAATATCACGGCGGGGACACCATAAATGGGCTTCACACATTGTGTCGTATCTGATGAAGGAGCACAACATTCGACCGCGACGTTTAGCGAAACACCACACGTTGGACCCCGTGACCGGTAGGCACGCCTGGCTTGGTTTGTTTGTTTTGCACTCAGCAATATTCCATCTTTATTAACTGGATCTGTAAATGTGGACCAGAAAATCCAGTGATAAACATCATGAGCAATTGGGATACGATGACATGTGTCAACCAAGTCAGCGAGCCTGACCATCCGATCCCGTTAGTCGCCTCTTATACTCTGGCTTGGTGTAGATAGCACCAAGGGTCAGGAAACACCACTGGGACAGTAAACCGTTCACAGATCAGTAAAGGATGCATCGGGACAACCTCGATCGTGAAGCAGTGTTTGCCGCGGTAGTTTATGTTGATATAATATAAAGTTGACGTTTTACCGTAAATATAAGGGCCGTAACTGGGGTGCGTCGGTGTATGTCGATGAACGACAACATCTGCATCTGATGGCCCTCCCTGGCAGCCACGAAGGACAACCTAGTGACAAGAGAACACACAAACCATATTAAAATTACTGGTATCTTGTGTACGAAAGAGAGCAATCCACCAACGGCGGAGGACACCAGAAATGAGCTTCGCACATTATACCCATGTGAGGAACCGAACTCTGAATCCTCCAACCACTATCCCGCAAAGAAATCTCAGCTGTGCGTGTAGGAAATGCACAGTTTCAGAACGTTAACTGTTCATATATGTTTTCGTTAGTTTCATATATAGAATACAAGTTTACTTATTATCCTAAATGTATTGAAAATATAGTTCCAACATGGTGTGGCAAACAGACACACGTGGGTACCTGCACTAGAGTGATTACGGTTTGCTTTGAACTACAGACTGCATTGCAAAGCACTTCTTGCTAAAGAAACCTGATTAAGAGCGCATTCAGAACCCCAAAAGATTGATGTATTAAAAGGTCTTGTTTAAGTCACATTACGGTCATGTGCCACCGATATCCGTTTAATTTTAGGTATATCACCACGTGTCTGCTTTAACAGGGAACATCGCAGAACTAAAGGGCACGTCTATAGTGTTGACTGACCAAACACCACATTAAGACAAATCTAGGATTTGAACCCATGACCAATGGTTCATCAAAGGGACGCAGCTCTATAAAGCAAACTATGGTGCTTTAGGCAATGTACAACCCGTTCCTAGACTGGTTCCCGCTCTTTTCTGTGATAGAGGGATTTTCCTTAAAACGGAATCCAGTCAACCACTAGCCCACGAATGCTACCTAAATGCCTAAAATATGCCCTGGCAATTAATCTGCAGTAACAGTGGTACATCGGTGTATTTAAGACAGAATAACCACAAGAAAAAAAATGGTGATTTCCAAAAATTTCCAATTTGGAAATATCATATTTCCCAAGTTGGAAATGTCTTGGAAACATCATCTTTCCAAAATTGGAAATGTCTTGGAAACATCGTCCTTCATAGACATTTCCAAGCTTGTAAATGTGGACTTTTTTTCCAGTGAACGTATCCCGCTCAGTGGGGCACATTGTCAATGAATGTATTGCAGTTACAACATATTGGCGACTGGGCCTATACCTCCCACTTGCAAACAGCGACCCATTGGCTGAGCCGAAGCAGGACAGGACGACAAACACGGGGATGATCCACGTCATAACTCCAAGAATTTTGTTACCCCATGTCTGTAAACAGAAATATAACACATACAAAATGAAAATGTAGCAGAATTGATACGGAAAAGCAAAGCATACGTCACACAAATATCACAGCGAGTGATCGATTATACAGCAAGGTTACCTGTCAGTATTCACGCCCCTCAAATTGTGTTGACTATATCTTATACTGTAGCTTCTTCAAACCTTGTTTCTGTAGTGGTAGACCCGTGAAGATCCGGGGTAGAATAGGTCTTCAGCAACCCATGTGCTTGCCATAAAAAGGCGACTATCTTGTCGTAAGAGGCGACTAACGGGATCGGGTGGTCAGTTTCACTGACTTGGTTGACACATGTCATCGGTTCCCAATTGCGCAGATCGATGCTCATGCTGTTGATCACTGGATTGTCTGGTCCAGACTCGATTATTTACAGACCGCCGCCATATAGCTGGAATATTGCTGAGTGCGGCGTAAAACTAAACTCACAAACTCAATACGTCAATGCCTGTAGTGGTATTCTCTGTTATGTCCAAGGACCAGTTAATGGAAAGTGTTGATTTGCTTGTTTCTAATAATCGATTATGTACATACCGCTACTGGAATATTGTTGAGTGCGGCGTTGAACAACAAGGTGACAAAACCAATACGTCAATGCCCATTCTAACAGTGATTGAGTTTAGTTTTACGCCGCACTCAGCAATATTCCAGCTATATGTCAACGGTCTGTAAATATTCGAGTCTGTACCAGACAATCCAGTGATCAATGGTATGAGCATCGATCTGCGCAATTGGGAACCAATGACATGTGTCAACCAAGTCAGCGAGCCTGACCACCCGATCCCGTTAGTCGCCTCTTACGACAAGCATGGGTTACTGAAGATCAACATTCTAAGAACAAACATATACTTCACCACTGCTACGGCATCAATGAGCAGGACTTCCTCTTTGGAGATGACGCTAAAGTAGGCGATGTTAACGAGCACGTAGCAAATGGTCGTCAGTGGGACGCCGAGTAATATTGCCCTGGGTAGATTTCTGAAACATTGACTTGACCCTCAACTAAATGATGACACTGCTTCATGAAGACACGTATATATACAGATTCCGTTAACATTGCTTCCTGAAGACACGTATATATACAGATTTCGTTAACGTTGTTTCCTGAAGACACGTATATATACAGATTTCGTTAACGTTGTTTCCTGAAGACACATATATATACAGATTCCGTTAACGTTGCTTCATGAAGACACGTATATATAAAAATTTCGTTAACGTTGCTTCATGAAAACACATATATATAGAGATTCCGTTAACGTTGCTTCATGAAGACACGTATATATACAGATTTCGTTAACGTTGCTTCATGAAGACACGTATATGTACATATTTCGTTAACGTTGCTTCCCGAAGACACGTATATATACAGATTCCGTTAACGTTGCTTCATGAAGACACGTATATGTACAGATTTCGTTAACGTTGATTCATGAAGACACGTATATATACAGATTTCGTTAACGTTGCTTCATGAAGACACATATATATACAGATTCCGTTAACGTTGCTTCATGAAGACACGTATATATACAGATTCCGTTAACGTTGCTTCCTGAAGACACGTATATATACTGAAGATGAAGACGTATATATACAGATTCCGTTAACGTTGCTTCCTGAAGACACGTATATATACAGATTTCGTTAACGTTGCTTCCTGAAGACACGTATATATACAGATTCCGTTAACGTTGCTTCATGAAGACACGTATATATACAGATTCCGTTAACGTTGCTTCCTGAAGACACGTATATGTACAGATTTCGTTAACGTTGCTTCCTGAAGACACGTATATGTACAGATTTCGTTAACGTTGTTTCCTGGAGACACGTATATGTACAGATTCCGTTAACGTTGCTTCCTGAAGACACGTATATATACAGATTTAATTCCGTTAACGTTGCTTCCTGTAGACACGTATATATACAGATTCCGTTAACGTTGCTTCCTGAAGACACGTATATATACAGATTCCGTTAACATTGCTTCCTGGAGACACGTATATATACAGATTCCGTTAACATTGCTTCCTGAAGACATGAGATTTCTATTCTGCATGGGTGTATGCATAAAATTTGATTAGCCGAAGATGATATTGAATTCGCGTTTGCATTATTTTATTTCTGATTAAAGAAGCGATCAGTTTTATACAACTGGAACTGTGTTTTATATAATTTGTCTTCTTTAGTGATAAACTGACCGCCTTCTTGGTCAAGGGCAAAGAGCATGTGCAATGACAGCAGAATGAGTGAGTTTAGTTTTACGCCGCTTTTAGCAATATTTCAGCTACATATGGACTTCACACATTGAACACATGTGAGGAATCGAACCCAGGTCTTCGGCGCGACGAGCGAACGCTTTAACCATAAGGCTACCACACCGGAGCGGAAGATTAATTGTTCGTTCTCCGGGAGCGTCAAAGGTGTTGCTAATCACCATGACTGACGCTCGGCATTAAGGTTGGTTGGTTGGTTGGTTGGTTGGTTGGTTAACGCCGCACTCAGCTATATTGCAACTGTATGGCGGCGGTCTCTAAATAATGGAGTCTGGACCAGACAGTCCATTCATCAACAGCATGAGCATCGATCACTGCTGTTGGGACCAAGTCACCGAGCCTGTCCACCCGATCCCGTTAGTCGCCTCTTACGACAAGCAAAGGTTGCTGAAGATCAATTCTAACCCGGATCTTCACGGATTCGACATTAAAGAGGACTGGTCGAATGGAAATATGTATATTGTCTCCGAGGCTGAGTGGGTCATCTATGCGGCGTGGTACTTCAATGATCTAGGTCAAACATGCATTAGTCCGGAATAGTATACAAACGCGCGCGTGTGCGCGCACGCACGCACGCACGCACGCACGCAAGCACACATACTCGTCGCTATATGGAGGCAGTAGTCTCTGACGCAATTCAACCCCATTTCGCCTCATCTCCGCATCTTAACGTCCCTATCTGTCAATTTCCTGTTACCACTATAACAAGGCTAACATGGCTATAATGCAACATGAACTGTCATTGTAATATAACCATTAGACATGTTTAACGAAGTATGCTAAAAGCTCGTTATACAAGGTATTGCATATCAAATCGTATAAAATACATGATATAAACCAAATTTATTTTCATATTCTGAAATATACCTCGACACTTTAAACAATGTTGTGCTTGTTTAGTATCTGAGTTTTGCATTTTGGCCTCTGTTTGTGTTTATGTAGACTAAAACTTTCAAAACCAAATGCAAAATTTTGTTCTTGCAAGGTAGTGTTTTTATTATGATTGTACCGTTTTCGTAACATGTTTTACAATCCAAATTGACAGTTATTACCAACATCAGTGTGTTTTCTGATGAAAAAGCATATCGACCAAACGCACCGAAAAAGGCAGACATGGTAAAAGGTTCTGTACGACATTCGTGAAAATGAAAATGCACGTGCATGTCGTGACAACCCTACCAATGAAAGCGAGTCCCAAACTCGCCTGAAATCATTTTTGTTTTGACACAACCTCCATGTCACGTCTTATGAGACATCAGAGGAACCAAGTCATGGGACGATTGCAAGTAGTCCAGACTGCACGGAGGGTAGCCAATCATTTTAATGTTCAAGTTAGGACAGCAGGAGTGCTATCAGGTCACTAACAGCATTCAAGACCGTCAACGCAGTGGGCGACTTTCAGTAACATCACACCGTCAAGACCGACAGATTGTGCGCAACCATCTGCAGGATCGCTTCCCCAAAGCGACGGAAACAGCACGGCAGACCATTGGGACTCACAACAGACCCATCAGTGCCGATACAGTGCGTGGACGTTTGCTCTACTGTCACAGATCATAACGTAGTCCTGTCCTCACCGCTCATCACCGCCAAAACGGACTAAAATGGGCAACTCAGCATCGAAATTGGTGTTATCGACAATGGAGAACTGTGCTGTTATCTCATGAAAGCCGATATTGTGTTCCGACAGTCGATGACAGAGTGAGAGTATGGCGAGGATGTGAGGAAATGACATGACAGCTGCTCGTTATATTGACCAAGTCATAAGACCCCCACGTAGTACCACACTTTGGCCGTCACAGAAATCACATCTTCCAGCAAGACAACGGTCGTGCCCACACTGTCAGAGCAACACTGGACTTCCTAAGATAGCATGGCATCCAAACCCTACAAAATCTTGCACTCAGTTCGAATTTAGGTCCAGTAGAAAATCTTTTGGACGAGATTCAAAGAAGACTGAATGGCCTCCAACCAAGGCTGACAACTACGGCTGGACTCGATCAGGCATTTCGCAGAGTATGGACCCAAGTGCGTATGACCTTCATCGATCGGCTAATTCATTCCATGTACAGACGGTGCAACAATTTCATCGATGCCCATAGATGCCACACACGCTACTGACTTTGGTGTATTTTAATGGTGCCATTTTTGGTGATTTTGTTTGTGTGAACTCTAAATGTGTTTCCCGAAAATGTGTTAACAATAATTGTCAAGTTTGAACTCAGTCCTCCGGCTTGATTGTTAATTAGATTGAACTAAAGTGTGTGTGCTTTAAGAAACCCCTATCAGTGCGACATTTCTTTTGTGGTTCAGTATATATAATATTGACAGTAACAAATAAACCCATTTACATTGAAAAGGAGCCCCAGTGGATTGGGAGATTCGGGACCTGAACCTGAGAAAATCTAGGCTTGCTTCATTTTGGGTTTTAGCATTGCAGGGAGGGCTAGGCAGTGGGGAAAATAATGTGGTTCGGGGACTGTGAGACGGACCAGTGTTTATGTACTGCAGCCTTGGCACAATGAACTATTTATCTCTCCTACTCCTTAAATCCTTTATCTAAAAATGTCCTGACACTTACCGTGACGCCCAGAATTTATTTTTATGAATATGACAGAAATATTATGTTGGGGAAAACAGTTTAACAGGCGTACAGAAAAATTAAGGGGTGTTAAGCGTGTAATAACGGTACAGTCTCTTTCAACCGTTTGCTTATTATGAGCCAAATATATACAGATAAAGCACGTACCTTTCCGGATTCTTTAATTCCTCCGTGACAAAGTTGAGGTTATTCCTGAAAATTGATGTGTTTATTTTGTTATATACGGTACTATGAACATGGCTACCATCATCCTTGAATTCATGCATTCTCAAACTTGAAGCGCACGTAAAATATCTGATTTGTTTTCAGTCATGTCCGCATGAGCGAGCACTGACTGACAACCAGGTTTATATGAGGCGTGAGAGTGTTTGACGTGGGGAGTGGGAGCGGGTGTTAGTACAAGTGTCTCTCCACATCATGACACTCCGCAGTATATGGTGGCCCAGAGGGGACATCGCTTTGTCGCCTTTAGTTACGGCCGCGAGAAAGCGATAGTGCGAGAAGAGAAAGCGATAGCTAATGAAGAGAAAGCGATAGTGCGAGAAGAGAAAGCGATAGCTACTGAAGAGAAAGCGATAGTGCGAGAAGAGAAAGCGATAGCTACTGAAGAGAAAGCGATTGTGCGGGAAGGCGATATAGCGAGAGGAGAAAACGATAGTGCGAGAAGAGAAAGCGATAGTGTGACGATAAAGCGATAGTGTGAGACGAGAAAACAATAGTGCGAGAGGAGAAAGCGAGAGTGCGAGACGAGAAAACAATAGTGCGAGGCGAGAAAGCCATAATACGAGACGAGGAAGCGATAGTGCGAGACGAGAAAGCGATAGTGTGAGAAGAGAAAACTACACTGCGAGAAGAGAAAGCCATAGCGCGAGAAGAGAAAGCGATAGTGCGAGACGAGAAAGCGATATTGCGAGACGAGACGAGAAAGCGATAGTGTGAGACGAGAAAACAATAGTGCGAGACGAGAAAGCCATAGCGCGAGAAGAAAGCGATATTGCGAGGAAGAGAAAGCGATAGTACGAGACGAGGAAGCGATAGCGCGAGACGAGAAAGCGATAGCGCGAAAGCCATACGAGACGAAAGCGATAGTGTGAGAGGAGAAAACAATACTGCGAGACGAGAAAGCCATAATACGAGCGCGATGGTGTGAGAGGAGAAAAGAGTGCAACTAGAGAAAGCGAGAGTACGACTAGAGAAAGCGAGAGTACGACTAGAGAAAGCGAGAAGAGAAAGCGACAAGAAAACTACTGTTTATCTGGTGTTTACGCGTTCTCGACTATCGCTTTCTCGTCGTGTTATCGCTTTCTCCTGGCCGTAACTAAAGACAAGAAAGCGATGTACCCTATCAGCCACCATAGAAACAGCCACTTTACACTTTGTCAAATAAAACATTTTGAAAGCTTTACTGAGGCATTGAAGCTTGTAACCATGACAACAACCGAGCCAGATTTGTATGACGTTCTTTGAAATTTTAGTAAAAAAATTTTAGAGTATGCACGATTTTACTTTAAAAATTGTGAACTGTAAACATCAAAGAGAGACGTTGGAGCGTTGCTCGACATGAAAGAAAGGTTGACTATTGGAAAGTTGAATTCATCTCTAGATTGTCACTCCGAGCTGTTATGCAGAGAGCTGTGAAACAGTGGAGGAGGTCTTACTTGTTTTTCCAGTTTTCAGGTTGAGGTGGGCAAATTATTGGAAGGGAATTGTTGAAGTTGTTGCTTTTTTAACGACATTCGATCATCAGTATACCAGAAGCTTCTTGGCCAAATTACATTTTTTTTTGTTATTTTGCCAACCCGATCCGAAAATTTGATTTAAAGAAAAATTATCCTCGAGGAGGGGAGCATAATTGGTGTCCATGGGGATGCCTACTTCTTGTCCAATCGTTTTACCCCAAGTACCTATGAACCCATGCATGTCAAAAGAGGCGATAAAACGGGCTAATTCTAGCTCGCTGACTTGATTGGCACATGTCATCGTATCCCAATTGCGCAGATCGATACTCATGCTGTTGATCACTGGATTGTCTGGTCCAGACTCGATTATTTACAGACCGCAGCCATATAGCTTAGTGCAGCGTTAAACAACCAACACACCAACCAACCAACATCAGAAATAACACGGAAGGGACACGAGAAATAGCCTTTACACATTGTACCCATGAATTGAATCTAACCCGGTTCTTCGGTGTAACGAGTGAACGCTTTAACCACCAGGCTACTACACCTAGTGTGCGAAATAGTTTCCAAATTTTGCTAGCCAGTCAGGCTAGCTATGCCTGAAAGTTAATAATTCACTAGCCCCAAATTTGAATGTAAAAACTAAGCAAAAGGTTATATTAAAAATGATCCCATGAAAATTGACTAGCCAGTCGGGCCAGTGCCTGTGGAGATTTACTGACCCGACTGGATTTTTACTTGCCACGGGCTAGTGGGCCAGTGGCTATTTTACACACTGACTACACCGCCTCCTGATATGACGATATAGAAGCGAATTGTTCATCAAGTAATGTCATGGAACAACACGTAAATATCACTTTTCATTGTCAAATTATATGAAAAATGAGGGAGACGCTCCTACTCCGTCGCCCGCCTTCCGCCATAAGTACCGTAATTACAAGGCACTACCCTGTTTGAGTGAGTGATCATGAGTGAGTATTATTTTACGCCGCTTTTAGCAATATTCCAGCAATATCACGGCGGGGGACACCAGAAATGGGCTTCACACATTGTACCTATGTGGGGATTCGAACCCGGGTCTTCGGCGTGACGAGCGAACGCTTTAACCACTAGGCTACCCCACCGCCCCCTACCCTGTTTGAAGTCTATCAGGATAATATACATATGATCTAAAAGTCCGTGGTGATATAATGTAAATGAGCATGTGCTACAACATTTTAACATTGTGATGGTACGGATCATTGACTACAACATTGATAAACATGTTTATATGTTGATTATCTTCCCGAAAACTGCACGGTACTAGGTACGGGGAGATAACTCCTGACGACGTACACTGAGCTTGAAGGTCCACATTAATGCGTGAAAGTTTCAGCTGACTGTATCAGAGGGGTTTCTGAAAATTCTATGTGGGTAGACTTTTACATATTCCCAGTCATTGATTTCATTAGGGTGAGCATCGATACTTTACAAATAAAAGGGGTTCAATAGAATCTACCTTTGATTATCCGCTGGTTATTTTTAAGAGGATAAGGGGTTTCAGAGGGAATCGAGGAGGCTCTTGCCACCCAAACATATGACATGCCCTCTAGAGGATGATCTTAAAATAGAATAAACATATTGGATTTTTGTTGTTTGGCCCATACTTGCCACGACAGCTTCGTTTCAGAGATGACGTCACTGCCTGCATTTTTTTAACTTGTACCGAATGTCTCTCGCTCGCTGGTTGGTTATTTTTAGTATCATGTTACTCCAATTGGATTCTATAGCAGATATTGACCTGCCCCGTGTGTGTCAATATGTCATACTATACAGCGATAGTGGAATAATGAGGAACACACTGTTACACCTCACCAGCCGTCATATACCGTCAGTATGACATACTATACCGCGATAGTGGAATAATGAGGAACACACTGTTACACCTCACCAGCCGTCATATACCGTCAGTATGTCATACTATACCGTGATAGTGGAATAATGAGGAACACACTGTTACACCTCACCAGCCGTCATATACCGTCAGTATGTCATACTATACCGTGATAGTGGAATAATGAAACACACTCTTACACCAGCCGTCATACCGTCATGTATACTATACCGCAGCCGTCATATGCTGTCAGTATGACATACTATACCGTGATAGTGGAATAATGAGAAACATACTGTTACACTTCACCAGCCGTCATATACCGTCAATATGTCATACTATACCGTGATATTGGAATAATGAGGAACACACTGTTACACCTCACCAGCCGTCATATACCGTCAGTATGTCATACTATACCGTGATAGTGGAATAATGAGGAACACACTGTTACACTTCACCGGCCGTCATATACCGTCGATATGTCATACTATACAGCGATAGTGGAATAATGAGGAACACACTGTTACACCTCACCAGCCGTCACATACCGTCCATATGTCATACTATACCGCGATAGTGGAATAATCAGGAACACACTGTTACACCTCACCAGCCGTCATATACCGTCGAATAATATGTCGCACTATACCGCGATAGTGGAATAATGAGGAACACACTGTTACACCTCACCAGCCGTCATATACCGTCGATATGTCATACTATACCGCGATAGTGGAATAATGAGGAACACACTGTTACACCTCACCAGCCGTCATATACCGTCAATATGTCATACTATACCGTGATAGTGGAATAATGAGGAACACACTGTTACACCTCACCAGCCGTCATACCGTCAGGCATGTCATACTATACCGTGGAATAATGAGGAACACCCTGTATGTCATACTATACCGCGATAGTGGAATAATGAGGAACACACTGTTACACCTCACCAGCCGTCATATACCGTCAATATGTCATACTATACCGCGATAGTGGAATAATGAGGAACACACTGTTACACCTCACCAGCCGTCATATACCGTCAATATGTCATACTATACCGTGATAGTGGAATAATGAGGAACACCCTGTTACACCTCACCAGCCGTCATATACCGTCGATAGTGGAATAATGAGGAACACACTGTTATGTCATACTATACCGCGATAGTGGAATAATGAGGAACACACTGTTACACCTCACCAGCCGTCATATACCGTCGATATGTCATACTATACCGCGATAGTGGAATAATGAGGAACACACTGTTACACCTCACCAGCCGTCATATACCGTCAATGTCATACTATACCGTGATAGTGGAATAATGAGGAACACACTGTTACACCTCACCAGCCGTCATATACCGTCAGTATGTCATACTATACCGCGATAGTGGAATAATGAGGAACACACTGTTACACCTCACCAGCCGTCATATACCGTCAATATGTCATACTATACCGCGATAGTGGAATAATGAGAAACACACTCTTACACTTCACCAGCCGTCATATGCTGTCAGTATGACATACTATACCGTGATAGTGGAATAATGAGAAACATACTGTTACACTTCACCAGCCGTCATATACCGTCAATATGTCATACTATACCGTGATAGTGGAATAATGAGGAACACACTGTTACACCTCACCAGCCGTCATATACCGTCAGTATGTCATACTATACCGTGATAGTGGAATAATGAGGAATACACTGTTACACCTCACCAGCCGTCATATGCCCACAAGCCATTGTAGAAAGCCAGCGCGATGATGGACGGGTTACTCTCTGTATCCTGGAAGCCCTCAGTTATGTAAGACGTACTACCTGAAACAACAAACAGTTTATATATGAAACACCACCTGCTGAAACAAACTGATTATATTTACGTACGACAGCAAACAACAATAGCGAACACTCGGCTTGAGACGTGACCTACCACAGCAAACACTTCACTCGACATAAGACACGTGACCTACCACAGCAAACGCTTTACTTGACATAAGATACGTGACCTACCACAGCAAACGCTTTACTTGACATAAGATACGTGACCTACCACAGCAAACACTTCACTCGACATAAGACACGTGACCTACCACAGCAAACACTTCACTCGACATAAGACACGTGACCTACCACAGCAACTAGACATAAGCGTTACCACAGCAAAACAACTCGACATAAGACACGTGACCTACCACAGCAAACGCTTTACTTGACACTTAACTCGACATAAGACGTGACCTACCACAGCAAACACTTCACTCGACATAAGACACGTGACCTACCACAGCAAACACTTCACTCGACATAAGACACGTGACCTACCACAGCAAACGCTCCTACGACATAAGACGTGACACCACCACAGCAAACGCTTCACTCGACATCACTCGAAGATACGTGACCTACCACAGCAAACGCTTCACTCGACATAAGACACGTGACCTACCACAGCAAACGCTTCACTCGACATAAGACACGTGACCTACCACAGCAAACGCTTCACTCGACATAAGACACGTGACCTACCACAGCAAACACTTCACTCGACATAAGACACGTGACCTACCACAGCAAACACTTCACTCGACATAAGACACGTGACCTACCACAGCAAACGCTTTACTCGACATAAGACACGTGACCTACCACAGCAAACGCTTTACTCGACATAAGACACGTGACCTACCACAGCAAACGCTTTACTCGACATAAGACACGTGACCTAACACAGCAAACACTTCACTCGACATAAGACACGTGACCTAACACAGCAAACGCTTCACTCGACATAAGACACGTGACCTACCACAGCAAACGCTTCACTCGACATAAGACACGTGACCTACCACAGCAAACACTTCACTCGACATAAGACACGTGACCTACCACAGCAAACGCTTTACTCGACATAAGACACGTGACCTACCACAGCAAACACTTCACTCGACATAAGACACGTGACCTACCACAGCAAACACTTCACTCGACATAAGACACGTGACCTACCACAGCAAACGCTTTACTCGACATAAGACACGTGACCTACCACAGCAAACACTTTACTCGACATAAGACACGTGACCTACTACAGAAAACGCTTTACTCGACATACGGCACGTGACCAACTACCCCAAACCCTTTACTCGACATAAGACACGTGACCTACCACAGAAAACGCTTTACTCGATATAAGACACGTGACCAAATACTGCAAACGCTTTATCCGATTTCAGACACGTGACCTACGACAACCAACAATTTACATGCATATGTAAGACACGTGGCCTGCAAAAACCAACAGTGTACATTCACTCATTGCTTCACAGAGCAAAACCTAATGATATTAGAGAAGACACTTGCTGGGGAAGGTAAAGGGGTTGAGTTTCAGCGTAAGGAGTGGGTGGAGGGTGATTGTGTATCAAATGTATGTGACTATTTTCCTACGTTGATCTACTTCCGCATTAGGAACTTATCTCAACGTCGACAGTCAATAATTTACTTTGTAAAATCGATTTCTTAATACATTATTTAGTATCTTCACAATGAATATTATGAATCAATTTGATACACAGAGCCAGCAAGTGTGAGGGATCGTTGTACCTACATTTAGATACATCTATATTTCATCAGATACAATATAATATAATCTCCGATTTCATGTCACGGGAGGCTGACATACAGACAACCTGCGGTAGTCGAGGATCATCGCCTTATTGAAACATACGCTGTCAAACAAGAGACCTGATCACCCTGCCACCAGTCCGCACGTGATGGACAGCTGACCCACAGATGACCAGGAAAGTAAAATAGAAAACGAGATGGACATTTGATACATCTGGGTTGACAACCACCAAAGTGTGTATTGCTATCACGTTTCACTTCCACGTGTTACGCGACTGACATGTATCAGAGCGACGGACTCTCACCACGGTGTCGTAAACACGCATGTCGCTGTCATGTGGACATAGACGTCACTGTAGCCACCGCCAACATGGCGTATGCAGATCTTTACATGATGGACGTATGTACATATGTGTGTGTGTGTGTGTGTGTGTGTGAGAGAGAGAGGGAGAGAATTTGCGTAGAGTGTGTGCGTGTGTAGAAGGAGAGAGAAAGACACTCGGGTGTGGTGGGTGGGTGTGCGTGTGTAGAGGGAGAGAGAAAGACACGTGTGTATGTGTGCGTGTGTAGAGTGAGAGAGAAAGACACGTGTGTGTGTGTGTGTGTGTGTGTGGAGGGAGAGAGAAAGACACGGGGGGTGCGTGTGTAGAGGGAGAGAGAAAGACACTCGTGTGTGTGTGTGTGTGTAGAGGGAGAGAGAAAGACACTCGGAGAGTGTGTGTGTGCGTGTGCGTGCGTGTGTGCGTGTGTGTGTGAGACTCCCTGATTATACTTTTAGAGTGATATATATATATATATATTCGCTTTGACTACAAAGCCTTAGTCTAGACAGTAGCATGCCTTGGTCGTCCACGATTACCTCCGTCGGCAGACATACCGTCGGACATTGGACTGACCAACTAAGTTCCCTGACATGTCCCCATTAGAGTCCCTGATGGTGGATATCGGGCGCAGAGTGTCTATCAGAGACCCAGAAGCAGTTGCCAACATGGCAAAGTCATCTTGCGGACTGGCGGACAATACTACAGACAACTCTGCACAAGTTAATCAACACTTTGAAGGTGTGTCCTTGCTCGAACAACATGACACAAAACCTTATATTGGTCGTTATGCCCCAACAGAATATTATATTTATGTATATATATATCTAAATGACTATAAATCATTTCACTCTGCCAATACAACAATCAATCAAACCACCGAGCCTAAACGCCCTATCCGATTTATTCGCTTCTAAGGCCAGGGTAACCTGTCCTGGAACGCCGGGAGCACCTGCTGTCAACAGTATACGAGTAGCCTGTGTACTCATGCATATTGTTAATGACTTTCAGCATATAGCAACCAGTGGGGACTGTGTGATACGGCTGGTCACAATGAACCTTTGCCAGTTGTTTCGAGAGAGAGAGAGATCGATCGAGAGAGAGAGAAGGGACAGGGACAGAGAGTTGGAGTTGTTAATTGAGATTCATGTGCTTTTACCAAAGTTGTTCATGGTGGTATATATCTGATATTAATGTCTGTGAATGTAATTTCAATATTTATTATACATCTTATAACGAATATAAGCCTCCCGTGTAGAACATTCATGCTTATATTTCAAAATGAACCTGACTGCAGTGTTTGTATTAGACACTGTATGTTTCTGTAACAAGCTGTGTGGCATTACAGAGTAGACTGTCTATTCCTGTGTATTAAGAGTTGTATAAGGTTCCTTTCTTGGCTTTTCTTTTTAACAGAGTACTACAAAGTGTATAAGTTTCAATTTCCTTACAAACAGTATAAGCTTCCAGTGTATTTCAAATTCTAAAGGTTTCCAGTGCGTTACACGCAGGATAAGGTCAAAGTGTGTTACTAGTATACACCGTTAAAGTTTCCAGTCCAGTTGCTATGTCAATATGCATAAGGTGTTATTGTATAATATTTCCAATACAAAATTGTTTTACCGATTATTATACACTGTGTGTTTCCACTGTATCCCACTCTATAATAGCCTAGTAGTTAAAGTGTTCGGTCGTCACGCCGAAGACCCGGGTTCGATGGTGATTTATATGGAGAAGCGTGTACAATGTGAATGACCCCCTAAAATTTAAGTACAAAGTAAGTGACCCCCCCCTCCCCATGCATGTCATGTACTAAATCAATGACCCCCACTTCCCATAATTTTTTAGCACCCATAATTTTTTAGCATAATACTATTTAATATTTGCATGTTAAAATTGTTGAACCCCCCTAGAACATGTGTACAAAATTGATGAACACCCACCTACCTAGAACAAAATGGGTCACACACCCCACCCCCTTAAAATCATCATCACCCCCTAGCCATATATTATGAACCGTCCCTAAGAGCCGCTCAACTGATATTTAGCGACAATTCATTGATTAAAAAAAAATGGTAGGGTTCCACTGGAATCGTCCGGATAAAGGAAACTGGTTCCTGAAAAATGTTACTTTGGAATGTTAAATGTCAGCGTACCCTGGAGCAATCGTCCAGAATTGACTGCTAGGGTCGAGACTAACGAAGGCCCATTGTGCAGTATCTTGTATGTTGTATTGTGATTAGACTAACAACTAGTCTCTGAAATGAACATATTTTATTGAAAAATGTTCATAGTAAAGAAAAATATAATATAATGAAAAGGAGCCCTGAGACTCTTCATTTTCAGAAGCTGAGGAAATCTAGACTTGCCACATTTTCTAGACTTGCGTGGGCTTTCTTGGATATATTTGCTTCAGGGTCTGTACGAGAGACTATATTGTGATATGTTGCTGTAATTACTGCCTTGAAACCAGCAAAATATGGTCATGTAAACAGCTGTCCAAACACGCATGTCAGGTCAATACTGTCGGCAGTTGCGTTGATTAAAATGAAATTGCTGGTATTGTGCCCCGATATCGTATTGATTCCAACTCACCTGTAGCTATCTTGTAGATCCCACCTATAGATATTATGGCAATGGCGACAAGCTTACTTCCGGTCAGAATGTCCTGTACCTTAGTTGCCACTTTAACACTGGCGCAGTTGATCAGCAGGATTAACACTGAAACATAACGGTGAAAATAATATATAATGTCAACGGTGAGTTCTTAAATTATCTCACTGTTGGGGGTAGAGGATGTAAAAGTTTCAACTCGATCCAGTGATTTCAAAATGTCCTTTAATCTCAAGTTCCAAGCTTTCTTATGACAGTTCTTCTAAATACAATGCACACAATGACAGAATAACAGTAACTAAACATTAATTTGACAGTGACTAGAAACTTTTACATCCTCTACCCCCAACAGTGAGATAATTTAAGAACTCAGATTCAAAGTTGAAAAACCCGTGAAAATCCGGATGTGAACTTACGACTTGGATAAAGAAGTTTGTGCTGAAGAATTGTGCAATCATCAAAATGGATTAACGCAAACTGGATTAAAGACTTAAAGCTGAAGTAAGTTATTCATTAAGTTTTTCTTAAAGAAAATTGAGCTTGTCAAGTAAATGGAACTGTTATGTGTTCAAGGATGTGCTAACAGGATTTAAGAAGACCACCTGTTCAAGTTTTTATTCAGAAACAGGAGGGATCATATTTCATTGGAACTGTGTATTCATTTAGGATTAAGGAAATGAGAACTGTAAGTTATTTCAAGATTATTCGAACTGTTTGACTAATTTTTCACCATGGCAAGCAGAACATTGAGCGATACTGTCGCAGTGATAAAGGACTGACTAATGAGCCTAGGAGAAGTGCTAAATCTGTGATAACAGAATCACGAGTAAGAAAACCAACGGAAAAGGGCCAAAGCTATAATTTGAATATAGCACTTGAAAAAAGAAAATTCCTGTACAAACAAGTGTGTTCAAAGGTAAACTACATTGAATACTTGATGAGCTCTGGATTATGTAAAATTGAGTTTCAAGAATGGAAAGAACTATTTTCGAAATTTAAAGAATCGGCTGAAACTTATCACAATAAACTTGAAAGTCAATCAGCAAAAGAGGAAGACGAAGCCTGGTTCCAGTCACAGCTAGGTGCCTTAGTACAGTTTGAGACACATGTTGCTTCGTTTATTAAACCCTATGATACAGAAAATGAAATAAGGCCTGAAGATAGCATTTCGCAAGTCGGGACACGTAAGGGTTCAGTCATCTCATCTGCCTCCTCTGCTAAAACGGAAATCTTGGCAAAAAGGGCCGAACTTGTTGCTAGACAGAAAGGATTAGAGCAAAAGCATCAACTGAAGAAGAAGAGAACAGGTTAAAACAAAGGAGTGAAAGATTAGAACTTGAGACAGAAGTAGAAATCGCAAATGCCCAGTATGCAATTTTTGACCAGTATGACCAAGAATCTAACAGTTCGCAAAAGAAAGATCATTCTCAAAAGTCCTTCAAGCCATCAAAAAGCCGAAATGAAGTGTTGAATCCACTTGCTGGAGAATTCACCCCGAATCAGAACACAAGCTAACCAGCTGGAGTCAGCAATACACACTTCGATGAAGTCCGGAAAGTGGCTATGAATAAGCCAGATCATTGTTGGATAAGAAATTCGGGACCAAATACAAGCTTGCAGCAGCTTACATGGACAAAGCCTTGAAATGGCCAGCTATAAAGTCAGAAGACAGTGATGCACTGACCAGCTTTTCTATATTCCTGACAAGCTGTGGAAATACCATGGCAGATATAGAATACATGAGAGAATTAGAACATCCAAAAAACCTCAGGGAACTGATTCAAAAGTTGCCATACAAATTAAGAGAAAGATAGAGGGCAGTTTCATTTGATATCTTGGAAAGAAGAAATGTCACATTTGCAGACCTTGTTCGTTTCGTGGATAGACAAGCACAGATATTGTCGAGTCCATTGTTTGGCACAATTGCCGACGACAGACAAGCTCAACCAAAGCCTAACCTGAAAGAAGCACCTAAGAGATTTAAGAGCTTTGCCACTGATACATCGAAATCTGAATCGAGAATTCATGAGGTGGCAACCACAGAAACCTACCCTGGTCAGGCAAAATCAGAGACACAAAGTAAGCCATTCACAGCACGAGAGAGCTTTGAGGTCATTCGCCAAGCCATGTTGGTTCTGCGACGAGGATCACAGTATGGAAATGTGCATAAGACTTCAGTGTAAGACACTGGATGAAACAATGGACTTTCTAAGACCAAAGGGATTGTGTTTTGGCTGTCTACAGTTTGGACACACAAGTCGCCAGTGCCCCAGCAGATTGACCTGTCATATCTGCAAAATAAGACATGCAACGTGTTTCCATGACAACAATAAAGATACACTAAAGAAGGAAAAGGATCAGATGAAGCCAAAGGTTGTAACAAACAACAGTTTGGCTACACGTCACAGTGAAGATCTCAAAGACTTGAGCTATATGCCTGTAGTTCCTGTTAGAACCAAAGTCGGCGCTGGGGACAGATATGTAAAGACTTATGCCTTCCTTGACAACGGCAGTTCAGCAACCTTCTGCACTAGCAAGTTGACTGAGGTGCTTCATGTCACAGGGAAGATGACAAATATAGTTGTCAGCACGATGACTCAAAAGAAGTCTGTGAATACCTCCATTCTAACAAACCTAGAAGTAGGTGACATCCATGGAAGGAACTGGATCAAATTACCTACAGTATTCACACAGGATGAAATGCCTATTTCCACAAGCACTATTCCCAAAGAAGAGTTCATTCATCAATGGCCGCATCTATTGGACGTCACATTACCACAGATAGATGCAGAGACAGGGCTGCTAATTGGCAACAATGTACCTATGGCATAGGAACCCCTGGAAATAGTCAACAGTCATGGTAACGGACCCTATGCTGTAAGAACGATTCTTGGCTGGATGGTAAATGGGCTTGTCCAGGAATCTGAATCTCCCAGTAAGATCTCAGTCAACAGAACTGATGTTCTAGCAGACGAGTCCCTTGATCATCAGTTGAGAGGATACTTCGACAGAGAATGTAACGAGCGCCTCAGCAATGATAAAGAAGAACTGTCAAGAAATGATCAGCATTTCTTAGATATAATGAACTCATCCAAGAGATTAACAGGAGGACACTACCAGATGTCTCTGCCATTCAAAGATTTCAAAGTCAACTTACCAAACAATAAAGTACAGGCCAAAGAAAGAGCTATTTCGCTTAAGAAGAAGTTTCTGAAGAATGATGCTTTCTACAGAGATGACAAAGGCTTTATGAAAGATCTCCTAGACAAGGATTATGCCCAAAGGGTTCCCGAGAGTAAGAAAGATCGTAAGAAAGGTGTGGTACATACCACATCATGGTGTATACCATCCAAAGAAACCGGATAAGATAAGAGAAGTATTCGACTGTGCAACAGAATACAGAGGAAAATCACTAAATGACCACCTGCTACAGGGGCCGGATATCACCAATGCCATAATCGGAGTGCTCCTGAGATTTCGCCAAGAACCAATAGCTCTAATGGCGGATATTGAAGCCATGTTTTACCAGGTCAGAGTTGAACCAGATGATTATGATGTTCTAAGATTCCTTTGGTGGCCCAATGGAAATCTCGATGAAGAATTACAGGAATATCAGATGAAAGTGCACTTGTTTGGCGCTGTCTCTTCACCAAATTGTGCCAACTTTGCACTGAAAGAAACAGCGAAAGACAACAAGGACATAATTAGCAACAATGTGATCCATGCCCTTGAAAAGAGTTTCTATGTGGATGACTGTCTCACTTCAGTCGCGATTGAGATGTCACAGAAACTGAGAGAAATCTGCAGTAAAGGTGGATTCCGTTTGACAAAATGGATAAGTAACAACAGATCTGCAATAAACTCAATCCCAGAAGAGGATCGAGCCAAAGAAGTTAAAGACTTAGACATAGATGATGCCTTGCCAGCGGAGAGGGCAGTAGGTGTACAATGGTGTGTCGAATCAGACACATTTAAGTTCAGGATAGCAGTCAAAGACAAACGAGCAACGAGAAGAGGCATTCTGTCAACTGTCAGCTCCACATATGATCCACTGGGATGTGCAGGTCCTTTTGTTCTCAAAGCAAAGGGAATTCTACAAGACCTTTGCAGACTTAAGATAGGATGGGACGATGTTATTCCTATTCCTTGCCCATAAAGACTGGACCAAATGGTTGTCAGAACTACAAAGGTTTGAGGAAATGAAGATAAGACCCAAGGATAGTGATCAGAATGCATTATCCCAAATACACCACTTTTCAGATGCCAGTCAAAAGGGTTATGGAACTGTTTCCTTTTTAAGGCAAGTCAGTACCACTGGACAAGTTGATTGCTCATTTCTTATTAGCAAGTCAAGAGTTGCTCCACTTAAGACCATCACAATCCCAAGAATGGAGCTATCAGCTGCGACTTTAGCAATGCGAGTGGACAGCATGCTCAAACGTGAGCTGGAGATTTCAGTTGATCAAACCTACTTCTGGACATACATCGCCAATGATTCAAAGCGATTCCACACCTTTGTAGCAAATAGGCTATCAGTGATTCATGAATGGTCAGTCCCATCACAATGGAAATATGTGGATACTCAAAACAATCCCGCAGACGAAGCATCTAGAGGACTGTCAATAGATGGATTTCTGAAAGATACCAGATGGCTTTCTGGACAAGAGTTCTTATGGGAAAATGAAGAAATGTGGCCCCAACAGACACACATTTCAACTGACATTCCAATGAAAGATGTGGAATTAAGGAAGGTTGCCCAGGTCAACCAGATAGACTACAGCAAGCCATGCAAAGAAGTAGATAGCCTTATCAGTCGCTATTTGGACTGGTTTGCTCTGATGAAGGCTATTGCATGGGTACTCAGGATACGGGAAGTACTCCTAGATCGGAGTAAAATGAAGAAGGCAGGTTTAACACCACAGAAAAGGAAGCATGTTGTGTTGACAGTAAATGAATTGGAAGAATCAGAGAAAGCCATTATTCGGTTCAACAGCAGAACTTTTGAAGTGAAAGACTTACCTCAAACAAAGGACTTAATCTGAGCAAAGGCAGTCCAATCTCCAAGCTTGATCCATTTGTAGAAGATGGTATAATTAGAGTGGGTGGACGTTTAAGTAGGGCCTACATGCCAGAGAGCGCGATGCACCCAGTGATTCTACCAAAGAAATCTCATGTGTCAGAACTGATAATTCGTCACATCCATCGTGAGTGTGGACATTCAGGCAGTGACACTTAAACTGTGTTTTGAGACTGTAACTTGACAACGAGTTTGAAGTTAAGATGAAGAGCATCGACTAATATATTCGATTAGTTCATGCATACTGTAAAATACTAAGATTGTAACTCAGAGAGAATGTCCACTGTTATAACGTCTAGTTGTTTAGTCAATTTATGTAGCTTAGGATGGCATTGTTTAAAGTAAAAAATACTTGGCTCTATATAATTTCATGGTAATTGTTACATTCAGATATAAGTAACAATTAGGGGCCGGAATGTTAGAGCCGAATTTTAGGCATTTGCTGTACATGCAAAATATTATATTTGTAACTTTGTTAGGGTTTGTGTGTGAGAGGCTGCATGTGTTTAGTATAAAGATATTAGTTGCGACATAAGAATCTGATAGCCCCTGTTGCCAGCAGATGTCCGAGGCTACATTCCCAGGACTGGTGACAGCTGTGATTTACCACTGCAACTAAGACTTATAGACTAATTGTCTTTGTGGGGTCCTATGGGTCTGACCTGATCAACCACGATAAGTGGCCGACCAAGAATTTAAGAGACACATGTGGAACGAAAGAGTGTGAGAAAGGGACATAGAGGTTTCAGATACTGAAGAAGTAAGACATTTTTTTAAGTTTCTAAGAGAGCGTTATAGGATTGTGTGTTGTGGGCTTAGAGGACAAACGGTTTTTCAACCTGTCCAGCCACTGTGCATTCATTGTCTAGACATTGTTTAGTCACTGTCAAATTAATGTTTAGTTACTGTTATTCTGCCAATGTGTGGATTGTATTAAGAAGAAGTGTCATAAGAAAGCTTGGAACTTGTGATTAAAGGGCATTTTGAAATCACTGGATCGAGTTGAAACTTTTACATCCTCTACCCCCAACAGTGAGATAGTTTAAGAACGTCAAATATCAAATCTCAATCTGCGGGGGTGGTGGGGTTAGTGGTTAAAGCGTTCGCCATCACGCCGAACACCCGAGTTCGGTTCCCCAAAAGGAGACAATGTGTGAAGCTCATTTCTGGTGTCCCCGCTGTGACATTGCTTGAATATTGCTTAAAGCGGCGTAAAACCCTACTCACTCACTCACTCACTCAATAATCTGTGAAACATTCCATTGAGCGAGGAAGACAAGACTGCTTTAAAGGTATTATGACGTAGTCAGAGATAACACCAGGTGTTCGCGAAAGGGAAAGTGTGTCCGGCTCTAATGGTACTACCCGCCATTCACACAAACTGCATAAAAGTAAGTCTCTGTTGCCCGGCAACCACGAAAATAGATGGCAAACGTTCCAGTTCTTGATTGTGAAGATTCTTGATGCTCATATGTTGATGAAGTTTGTGTTTGGGCCCAATCTCTGAAGAATCATAACTATAAGGAGTGAGTTTAGTTTTACGCCGTTTTTAGCAATATTCCAGCACGGCGGGGGATACCAGAAATTGGCTTCACACATTGTACCCATGTGGGGAATCGAATGAGGGTCTTCGGCGAGGCGAGCGGTCGCTTTAACCACTAGGTTACTACACCGCCCCTTATAACTATTATTAACACATTCAAAATATAAGTAAGTCTTATACACGTTCATAACTTGATAATGATCTTGAGAGGAATAGGAATTACTGTGTATACACTGCTTGTTATTTTATAAATACCCCATAGCTTCTAACACAATTTCCATCATGAGGGAAAACCAAGTTCTATGGCTAGTCAACTTCTTTATTGCAATGAGTGCGACGTTTCGGTGTAGGTACTAACACCGTTATCAAGCAAGCGCGTAAATACTTACACCGAAACGTCGCACTCATTGCAATAAAGAAGCCGACTATTAATAGAGCTTGGTTTTCCTTCATCTTCACAACTTCTAAAATGCCTCTCAAAGACATGTCAATCATATTTCAGATGTCTATCTGTATCTTAAGTTTGATAAGCACAGATGAAAGAGCTGCAAAATTGACTTAAATCAACTTAACTTGGTCTTTTCAAATTCAAGCACGTTTGTCTTATTTTTATATTTATATACTATCCCAAAAAAGAAACGCAAAGGCGTTTTGTATTTTAAAAATCTATTAACTACCTATTGTTTTCAAACAATCGTTAAAATATGCAACAAAAGTGTTGACAACATGGTTTTACACAATTTACACAAAAATCGACTTTACCTGAAAATGTTGATTTTTGATGAGATTTCTTACAAGGATTAAAAAGGCATCGCCCCTACGCAACGGAAATCACCTTCCAGTGGAAACTGTGCAGCAAAGAGCATGCACTGTCTTGCTATAAAGTCATGATTACTTTCAGAAAAAAAGCATTCGTTTTGAAGGAGTTTCAAGGTCAAATCACAACGTCACATCTTGACGCTGCGAGACTGAAAATCGTCATTGAAAGAATGCACGCTTGAGATTACCAATCTTCTGTTGCCAGGCGTCTGAATGTTAGTCTGAGCACGATATCACGGCGTGCAGCTCGTTACAACCACACAGGTATAACAAATGACCGTCCCCGTACAGGCAGACCTCGAGTCAACACTGCAGCCCAAGATCGGTACATTCGTACTGCCACGGGTGAGAGCACAGCAGCCAATATTTATATAGCACTACAGTCCATCCCTCATGCATGCTCAAAGCGCTTCTTCTTCGATCATTGGTGTCAATCTCAGCGGTACATCATATTATCAATCTCAACTCCCTGGGGATCATACAACTCTTACTGACACTAGGCGCGCCGAGTTAATGTGACTTTCCCATCCTTTCGAGGTACCCATTCAACACTGGGTAGACTGGGACACATAGTCACAGTACTTTGTCCAAGTTTACTACACCTTGCAACTAAGTGTTTGCACGTATTCATGTGGCCGCCATCTGGTCATTTACCAACGGATCCGTGGGTTCTTTTAAATGCACAGGGTTGTGTACTGTACACTAGGGTTTGTGACAACACTGAAAGAGTCTGCACACAAAGTTGACTCCAAGGTTTTTCACACCCGGTCACAGGTGGGCTCGATCCCGGCACCTCCAAGCTCGTAGGATCATTAGCCTAACGCCTTAGATAGCTCGCCCACCACGCCCCAGGTTGAGAGAGATTGGACTGAGAGCCAGGAGACCCGACGTCAGGACCCTGCTATGTCGTCACCATCGCGCTCAGCGTCTCCGTTATCTAAAATGATCCAGTTGGTTGTATAGACATTTCCTTCTTCTAAACTGATATGAAAATTCGTGTACTAAAGTCTATTTGTGGACGAGTTGTACGTGTTTGAAAATACAACATTTTCGCAACAGATTTTTAGCCTATGCGTTTACTTTCTTGGATAGTATATTATATTTTTTGGAATATTCTCCTTATCTTATATGGTTGCCACAACCGGATGTGGGTCATTCACTACAGTTACTGAACCACAAGGGGAAGGGGAAATGTTTGTTTTTATTCTCTTCTCTTTAAAGGAGTTATGAGCGTAAATATCGATTTGCATAATGTGTGAAATTCTCGCAGTATGAAGCACAGAGCGTTCCACGTTTATCACTCCATAAAACGTCAACAAAACATACTGAATTCAATTTTCATAAATACATACCACTACAGCCATATTGGCACATGACTGTTTATTTTAGCATGACTAAACAAAACACTGTAGACAATTATTAACAGCTTCAGCGCAGTAATACAAAACTGATTATCAGCAAATCAAGAAAAAGTAGTCCGTTTTCGGTTTGTGTAAAACATCAATGAATACACAATGCCACTTAGAAAGTGGTCAAATGTAGCACATGTAAGAGGCGACTAACGGGATCGGGTGTATCCCAATTGCGTTGATCGATGCTCATGATGTTGATCACTGGATTGTCTGGTCCACACTCGATTATTCACAGACCGCCGCAATATAGCTGGAACTTTGCTGAGTGCGGCGCCAAACTAAATTCACTCACTCACATACACAATTCTGCTCATAAAGATAACCCCAAGAAACTTAAGCGACTTAAGCACAGGAACCGGGTTCGATTCCCCTCATGGATCAATGTGTTAAGCCCATTTTTGGTGACCTCCACCATAATATTGCGGGAATATTGCTAAAAGCGGCGTAAAACCCAACTAACTCAAATACTGATGCTGTCCTAAAACAATGCCACTCAAAGAAGTTATGATACTGTCCTGTTAAAGTACTGTAAACCACGTTTAAAACACGCTTTTACCGAACTAACGGATATGACGAAATGGCGTTTTGTCTGAACCAATTGCTTTATAATTTAGACGAAATGCGTATAAGAAGTGCATAAAACGATAAAAGATTATTGGTCCTTTCGGTCGTTATAACCGGAGTTCGTTATAACCGGTGTTCGTTATAACCGGAGTTCGTTATAACCGTAATTTACTGTACATCTGTTTGTCTTCTCAACCGTAGCTAATCCACTCCGAGTACCATAATCATTCAGAGACGTCTTCTAAGGCTTATGATTACAGCACGTATCACGCCTATGAGAAGGTAGGTTAATGCTTAGTCTCTGAATATATATAATTTTGATAGTAACAAACTAGACCATTTAAATTGAAAAGGAGCCCTAGGGAGACCAGAGATTCAGAACTATCACATCAAATCAGCAGACTGTTAGAACACCAAGCAAGCATAGATATAGACTAACGCTTAGTCCCTGAATATATAATTTTGATATTAACAAATAACCCCATTTAAATTGAAAAGGAGCCCCAATGAGTTGCCTGAACCTGAGGAAATCTAGACTTGCTTCATTTAGGGCTTCAGCATTGCAGGGAGAGCTAGGCAGTGGGGAAAATAATGTGGTTCAGTGACTGTGAGACAGACTAATGAGAAGGTCCTACATACAGATGTTCATTACGGTATAGTCGTTTACTCACACATGGCTGCACATGTTACCAGCTTCTTGACGAGGGGTGGCGCTTCACACGGTGTGTAGAAAGGCTGGGTTGCATATGTTCCGAGGCTGAGCACCATGATGGCAAACATGGATGGTCTGATGATGAAGATACCAAGCCAGGCTACCAGGAATGCGGGCACCTGCCCCCAGCATCTATTCATTGGCTTGAACGTATGTAGTAGGTAGGCATGTTCTGCTCCGGATTTGACAATGGCTGTACCAAGCTCAGCATAGACGAGTGCGCCTGTAAATGAATGTTTTCAACGTAAGAATATCATGCAGGCACAATTTCGGTGAAGTGTCTTTCCAGATCATATATATACAGATCTAGCTGATAATGTTAACAATATTCGAGCCGAATCAACGAAACTTGATGTATTTAAGAACTACAGTTTGCTCTACCAGCATGTATAGCGTAATAAAGCACACTTTCGCCCTGAACTATTATAGTTAAAGCACGAGGACGAGGTGGTAGAGCGAACTGCATTTCGTTTCTAAGGTGCCACATTCAATTTTTCGCGACGATAAATCTTTGGCAAAAGACGACCACAAAAGCAAGGTGTCGATGGCCTATATTAACGATCCTCGTTCAGGGCAAACTGACGCGCTGTTCTATTGACGCGTTTGCCCCTCTACATATTAAGGCGCACGTAACAAGAAAAAACAAATGATAAACAGTTTGATGACGGTTTACGTTCGGGTTAAGTATCTTCTCTAAATTATTTTAATTACAACTGTGATTAACGTAAACCATATGGGGCAATATGAACGTCGCATTTCTGCCATCAACGTAAGTTTAGATCAGTAGATCCAGATGAAGCTGACTAGTCACGCAACATTTCACGGATGCATTGTGGGAATGTAAACAATGCGAACGTTGCCGTGTCGCTGTCGCTGTCGCTTTTTAATTGTGAGTTGTAAAATGAGACATTATATCCGTAGAAAAATATAAACATAATGTTTCCACCAGTGATGTTAGCCGATCGATGCAACTGCAGACGATTAGGTCTACTAATGCAGGGAAATACAGGGAAAGAATAGCTACAAAGTTTGTTGTGATAGCGATACGCTTACCTTGCACACAAGATGTAAAAATGATTTTCACAATTGTGTGAAATAGGTGTACAAAATTGGTGTACGAAAAAATTGATGAAAACAAAAAATTGAACACTAATGAATGACGAATAAATGGTTCATCAACATAGAAAGTCTTGTTCTGTATTTACTGTAGGCAAAAATGCTCACTCAAATGGGACATACCACTTTAATGAAAGGTTGAAAGCAGTAAAATTGAAAACCATTGGTGCGTTTAGTTGTTGTTTATATAAGATTGTAGAGGTTGTTCCCTGTTGGCATTAGCAGACTTCGCCACTGCAAACCAAGAAACGGGGGTGCCACGGAGTGGGTTAATGTAAAAGGCTTACATACGTGGCGATGACAACTGACATGCATCGTGACGTCGCGGTTACCAAGGGTACGTTCGAATGGCGCGCTAATGCATTGTGACGTAATACAAAAAAGTGTACATTATCGTCTGATAAAGTACTGTCGGCGCCTTTGATCTTTCACCGAAGCATCTTAGAATTTCATGTTAAGACACGAAGGTGAAGTTCTTGTAAACTTCTTTCAGTTTCAAAAATCGAGTGTATGGAGTGTAAATAGTCTAGGTAACAAGGTACAGTGACCGAGAATTTAGTGGTGTCAATAGATTGTAACGTCATGTTAACCGATGATGTCACAATGGTCAACCAAGTTAAATATATCGGATAACAGCAAATCTGGATGATAAATAGAGAATCTCACCCAAGTGCCTACTGATATCAATTATATCAACACAAAGTACAAATATCCGAGGCTTGCCGAGGATATTTCTACTTTATCAACGAGTGTTGATATAATTCATGTCAGTAGACACGATGGTGAGATTCTATTTATCATCAAAAATCACTCTTCATTAGTTTTGAATGAAAATGTACATCTCGGAACACGGTACTGCCATTAGACTTGCAGTGCAGCGATGTCATAGCATTGTGACGTCATCGAGTTTATGACATCATAGCATTGCGTGTCATGTTGTTAATGTTCGCCCGCAATGTACAAAATCTACTGTCAAAACAATACAATTTCGTACTTTGAAGTTTACACAGATTCCCGAACGTTGGTTGGTTAAGCGAGCGGTCATGTGATCTAAATTTCAAGTTCCATTTCTCTTGAACCCTTCAAATCGTTCATACGTGTGTAAACATCGTCCATCCGTGTTTGAACGTTTTCCGCTTCGGTTTCAAGGAACCCCAATGATCTTGCTGCAAGTGGTGATGCCAATTTCGCGACCGAACCTGTTTCAAGTCACCCCCATTTTGCCAATGTCACTTCTTAACTTCTTCACCAGTCTCAGTAAACTTAGGCTCAGTATTTTTCGTTACACTGCTATACTGAGTCTAACAAAGCCTAGTAGAAGGTCGCGTCAGCTAACCTTTGAGGACCTATGACCGTCCAATCAAACGCGAGTTGGCCGAACGGATTTAACCAATCAGACAACGACTACTTAGGGTTAGGGTTCGGCGGGACTTTTTCTCTTCCCTGGTCGCTGACACTGATCTATCAATAAACGAAAATCCGCATAAAACACAGATATTTGACCTGCTGAATATACGCTTATGGGTTTCTAATGACATGGTTACTAGTTGCTTATATTTTCGGAAAATGACATCCTTAAATATTGACAAAAACGCTATTTTCAGTGACTGTTTACTCATTGCGTGTGTCACTCGGAAATGATCGTGCGGAAAATAGCATTCGGAATCGATCGAGTTTTGAGGTAAAGGTTCAAACGGTACATGCGAATGTTAACTTTCGCGATTTGGTAAGTTGTGTTCTGATTGGTCAGTCCAGAAGGTTAACTGACACGACCTTCTACTAGGTTTTGTTAGACTCAGTATAGCAGTGTAACGAATAATACTGAGCCTAAGTTTACTTAGACTGCTTCTTCATTTCAGGAATTTGAACAACGCTTTGACATCGTTCATTTTTCAGTGCAAACACACAAACTGACATTCAATCCTTAATTTCCAAGGAGATATTGTTTTATCTCACACAAGCAATATCTCCAGTGGAACACAGTTTTGGATGATAAAAATATCAAACGTTCAAACCATTATGATCGTGTAGCTATATTGTTGTTACGGTTGACTGCAAGCCAGGAAGTCACTAAGAAGATCTAAACAATCAAAGGCAACTACATATCATGTTGATAAAGGCAAACAGAATTCATACGTCAACCATAAGCAAAGACATCAGAAGAAAAGACAGCACTACCTAATGGTCATTTCCATTTTTAAAATTCTTTTTCCTTATTGTTTTTTCTTCCTCCTACTAAGCAGTCCCTTATTTGCTTGGGAATATAACCAACACTCTCCCTTGTACCACCGTCACTGGCGATGCTCCATCGCTTACCCATCATTGACAAAATTCCGCATCCCGTCCACACTATGAGACTCATAGCGACCGAACCCGAGCCAATGAGGACGCCGCGGGGAGACACGAATATACCCGAACCTGAAAGAAGGAAGGGAAATACATGTACTTATAATCGTCGCAATACAATCTGGGTGCCGTTGTACAAAGCAATCTTAGAGCTAAGGTGACCGTAACTCCAATAGCTTAACATAGGCTTAAGGTAATCTTAGTGCTAAGGTTGTTTTGTACAACAACACCTGAACGCTTGCCTACTACTTTAATTCTTTAAAGGAATTCGTTTCGCGAGAAGAAAATGATTTTTCCTTTCATAATATGTTGTCTTTAATAATCTCATATGCAGCTTAAATTTTTTCCTTGTTTGATGTGCAGTGTTTAACATCTTTGTTCGGAACACGTTCTTTGTTGTTTAATGGTGCATGTAGCAAGATTTCACAGAGTCTGGACGAGGCAAGCCCGTGACTGCCGTGCTGACTTCATGAGTGAGTGAGTGAGTGAGTTTAGTTTTACGCCGCTGTTAGCAATATTCCAGCAATACCACGGTGAGGGGAATGAAGAAGAAATTGGAAGAAGATGAAGAGCCTGAATGTTTTCAGGTGAATATATACTCACTATATGTTTGTGAGGATTAAAGTGATTAACATACAAACATAACAATATACTGTTAACTTCGATGCGGTTGCTCGGCATCATTTGAAGGACCGCCGTGACTTAATTAAGATTTTTATCCAAAAGGGTAAGCGAGTGTAGTTTTACGCCGCTTTGAGCAACATTCCAACAACATCCAGACGGGGGACACCAGAAATGGGCTTTACATATTGTACCTTTATGGGGAATCGAACCCGAGTCTTCCGAGCGAACGCTTTAACCGCTAGGCTACCCCACTGCCCCTCATCCATAAGAACACAAGTCCACAATATCATCCCATTAGGACTCCATTTGGAGTTTTAGAAAGAACAAGTCCCGAGCAACAAAATCCGACGTCATGAACGCGGTGGCCAGATGCACTGGTGCTCTGCCGATTTCGCGTCATGTGAGCACGTCATGTGAGCACGACGTCATGTGAGCACGACGTCATGTGAGTACGATTGCGTGGTTGTTGCTCGTGATATCCATCATTGGATTGTCTGAAAAGATCTTTTACAATGGAATAAAACAGCTGAAACCATGGTGTTTACCTATCATGGTCCCAACAATAAGAGTGACCCCACTTAGCAGTCCCACGTTCTTCTGAAGCTTGACGTCTTCAGCGGACTCGTCATCCTCTCCGTCACGTGGCCCGGACCGAGAGCTCCCATTGGTTGGTAGAATTGGATTTCTTTGATGTGCACCATCATCTTGTGTTCCTAAAACAAATGCAAATTCGTTACAAAGATTCAGTAAGACCCCACACTGTCCAACATGTGTTTAGAATGCAAACACATATATGAGGTTAAATAATGTGATTAAATTCTAAAACAGAATGCACATGTGGTGTTTAATATCATCGTGTATATTTTCATAAAAATCTGAATTGGATTGTTTTCAAGTGCATATCATTGAGCTTAAGGAGGAGTAGTGATAATATTCATAATAAATATTGAAACTACAATCACATACACTTATATCAGATATATACCACCATGAACTATGCAGTATTCACAATAAAGTGTACAGTAACTTTAGTTAAAGCACACGAACCTCCATTTACAAATCTCTCTCCCATTCCCTCACTCTCTCTCTCTCTCTCATTCTCTCTTTCTTTCTCTCACTCTCTCTCGTTGTCTCTCTCTCTCTCTCACTCTCTCTCATTGTCTCTCTCTCTCTCTTTCTCTCATTCTCTCACTCTCTCTGCTATCATATGTTTTGTTGTGGACACCCTCCTCTCCGTGTTAAACAACTACCACCAATTAAACCATACAAACAGTATGTGTGCATCCACCGATGTCTTTGTTCTGAACAATATGTTTGTTTTCATCGATAGAGGCATTAAATGTCAGTCCTGGAGAGGCACCAATCCTTTATCAAGCGGTCGCATTTTAATTTAAATGAACAATTCATACATTCCAAACAAATGCACTGCCTGGTTATCCGAGCTATTTATCCTCTTCTGTCGCGGCAGATGTTTGTCATATATTTGGAAGGCCTTTTCAGGAACCCCACAATGCTTACTGCAATCGAACCTGCCTGTATGTCAATTAAAGTGTTTTTGTCATCTTGAACAAATTATATGCAAACGTTTAGGTTTACGCGTGTGAAACGGACACCTTGCTATGCTGTAGAAACTGTCGGCAACACAAGCCGCCGACTAACAGCTGTATAACTAACTTGCCTATTAGCATCATGTGCCAAGCGAGGATCTTAGAAAACGTACATGTCCTCAAAGTTAATTATGTCCTGAGGAGGACAAACACTTGTCCTGACGTCAGGGGCAGTGGGGTAGCCTAATGGTTAAAGCGCTCGTTCGTCACGCCGAAGACCCGGTTTCTATTCCCCACATGGGCACAATGTGTGAAGCCCATTTCTGGTGTCCCCTGCCGTGATATTGCTGGAATATTGCTAAAAGCGGTGTAAAACTAAACTCACACACTTTAGGGCTTTAAAATACACTGGTAGAGGCCTTTGTCTGCTTTGTCAGAAAATAGATTGTGTACATCATGCAAGAGTAAAATTGGGGATGAATTTCACTTTATGTTAGAATGCAATGAGTTAAACAAATATCTCCCTGCATATTATTGTAAACATCCCACTGTTGATAAATACATTTCACTTATGTCTATCACATACAAAACCAATACTTGTTAAACTTGCTCTGTTTGTAAAATGGGGCTTGTTACGCTCCGTTAATGTAACATGTATGTGTTTCATTGTTTTGCACATGTATTTGTTTTACTCTATGTCATGCATATGACTCATGAGAATAAATTTTAAAACTGAAACAGCTTGGGGTTTTTTTTTAAATAGTTATGACAACCCATGAGGACCGTTAATAATCCATGACGGTTCCAGTTTTGGAATGAAAAAATGCAAACGTGTTCAGCCAATTCTGGCATATACAGATGTACAAGATATTTTTATGGATTAAACTCCACTGAAAGACATTATACAGATGTAGATGAGATGAGCGAGCTTTGACCAGTATTTCAACTATGACAACTTGATATCGGAGCACAGACGGAATAGGTGCGGGTCGATGACGGTTTATTAAACACGTGAGCACTGGTATGGCAAATCAGTTAACAAATTTAGGTTTAACCGGGATTCGAACTCGCTGTCGTACACGACTGCCCCACTTCACAGTGTGGTGCCACACTTAGTACGAAACGCATCTAGTACGAACACGGATGTTGCGAGATATACGAGAATGCTTGTAGATCAAAAGACAAGACTGACTGACTGACTGAGTTGAGTTTTACGCCGCTTTTAGCAATATTCCAGCAATATCACGGCGGGGGACACCAGAAATGGGCTTAACACATTGTGCCCATGTGGGGAATCGAACCCGGGTCTTCGGTCTTCCACTAGGCTACCCCACCGCCCCCAAAAGACAAGAACGAAATGTGACCTTAATGCATTTTAGACGGGAACTGAAAAATGGTAGATCTAAACTGGAAATGCTCTGCAAAGTTTTAACATCTGTAATTGTTTCAATTCCAACGTTAATCTCTATGAGGTAAAATTGGGTTGCTGAAAATCACTTAAATCTAAATCACACTCGATGTATAATGTCTTGCTGGTTTGTTTCTTTGCTTGCTTCACAAGAACACTCAGCAATATTCCAGCTATACGACGGCGGTCTGTAAATAACCGAGTCTGAACTAAACAATCCAGTGATTGACATCATGAGCATCGTTCTACGTGATTGGGATACGATGACATGTGTCAACCAAGTCAGCGAGCCTGACCACCAGATCCCGTTAGTCGCCTCTTACGACAAGCATGGGTTACTGATGATCGATTCTAACCCGGATCTTCACGGGTATGATGTATAATGTATATATAATACGGATCACATCCAGACAGGAAGTCATGGTATGTAGAGCTGATTCCCTTGGGGGCGCCGGGATCCTGTATATGATCTATGATCTTTTGCCAACCACCTTCGACAATATGAAATGATTATTCCTTCCAACCATCCGACCGACACATCACGACAGGGGACACCAAAAGTCAAACGTTTTTATGAGCAGTGAGACAACCGGCTGTCATTAGGGACCGTCCATAATTTATGGCTGGTGTGTGGTGTGTGTGCGTGCGTGCGTGCGTGCGTGCATAATAATATTTAAAAATTAGGCTTGCGAAATTTGGGAAGGGGAAGGGGAGCATTGATTTTGTACAAGACATGCATTGTACATAAATTTGGGGGGGGGTCAGTCACATTGTACATGCTTCTCCATAAAAATCATCATCACACCACACCACCCACACACACCACACCACACCACACCACACACCACCCTAGCCATATGAACGGTCCCTTAAATGAGATGGTAAGTACATTATCGTGAAGCTGTGCACCACATGTCACCATCATAAATATTTTGACAAGATGCCGCTTTTGTAATCCGGCTGATCCCTACGTCAAGATCCCAAACCAAGGTAATCATCACCAGAGATCAACACAACAAAGGACTTGCAAAAGTAAAGGCTTGAAAATATTAGCACGCATCATATTCCCTCCTTCAGATTAATCCGGGTCGTTGACCGCTAAACCAAAGCAAATAGCCCCTGTTTCTAAGTGCTGACCTAGTTTTCCCAATATACCCTATCCCCCTGGGTCACCTAACGCTTGTTGTTCATACCTGTGTAAAGGTTTCCACATATGTTGTACCTGGGGCAAAATCACATGTCAGGGAAGGATACGGCTTGCTGAGAAAGTGGGGGTGCATAGTTAGTTTTCACCCTTTTTCACGAGAGTTTCAATTTATAAACTTTCCGGACAAAAGGGAGGGTGCGCACCCATACAAACACACACACACACACACACACCCCTCTGGATCCGCCTATGCATGTACTCATTTCTCGTAGATAAACGCATAGTCTCTGAATATATATGATTTTGATAGCAACATTTAAATTGAAAAGGAGCCCCCCGTGAGATGGGAAATTCAGAACATGAGAAAATCTAGACTTGCTCCATTTAGGGCTTTAGCAGTGCAGGGAGGGCTATAAACTAATGTGAGTTTCTGAATATATATAATTTTGATAGTAACAAACAAGCCCACTTATATTGAAAAGGAGCCCCAGGGAGACCAGAGATTCAGAACCTGAGGAAATCTAGACTTGCTTTATATAGAGCTTTAGAACTGCAGAGAGGGCTTGGCAGTAGGGAAAATAATGTGGTTCAGGGACTGTGAGACAGACTAGGAGGGATAAGAAGTAGGTAAAATAGTGTGGTTCAGGGACTGTGAGAGAGACTACCAGTTCTCGCTGTTGTGTTGAGTTTTAACGCCAATTGCTTAATCTTATTGAAAGGTAACAACCTTTAAATAAGCAATGGGCTTTTTTACGCAGAATCGACTGAAACGAGACAGTGTAATGCCTTGAGGTGTGTGAGTGCAGTGCTGTATTGGGTCAGGGAGGCTGTGTGTGTTGTTTATTACAGTCGATCTTTGTTGGCGTATATTGAGAGTCCCAGGGGTCAAAGGGCTGACGACGGATTCTATATATTAATGGGAAAATAAACACGGTCTCTTTTGCAAATTTGGAACAAGGTTTAAGACTATAATGGGTGTTGAATGTATACAATAAAACTACTGCCTTCTAATGTTTTATTCAGAGTATATCATAAATTTCCATGAGTCCATTTCTGCAGCTCTAAGATCCATGTACCGTATAAAATGCAGATAAACCTGTCACATGTCACTTGTCACATTTTTACAGAGTTTTTAACACGGAGGTAAGTAAACAGGTTGATATAAAATGCCAAGGAGTTGACCAGTGAAAATAATAAGATATTCTTCACAAGTGATTCCAGCTGTTATACATATCGAAGGGATTTCAACTGGTCTTTGTAAGTAATTATACACGATGCCCAGAAGCATTGTTCAGTCAACTCCGCTTCAGTAATGTTATGATAAATTACTATCATCAGTCATTTCAAAATGTCACATTTTTTGCACTAACGAAAGTAAAGAAGTGTGACAGCCTACACACATATCCTGTGACAGCCTACACACATATCCTAGCAGTTAACCATCTGCAACGTTTCTCAATGACGACTGCACTTATTAAAATTAGTTCAACTTTGACCTTTCACAAAGTCAAAGTTTCAACTATTGACCTTGCCTATGATGTCACGTATACCCGATTACGTGGATAACTTTACTAAAGCTCAAATTCAAGGGGGCTTACAAAGTCTGAATGCATATTTCATAAGCGGATATATTGACCCTTTAAGCCACCCAATGAAACATGTGAGAACTCTAGACATCTACTTACGTCTCTGCATATGGGCTGGTTCAAGGAGTGGTACTAGACAAATAAAGTTGACATGTAGAAGGCAAACATATTTTCACACATGTAGAGTTAGATAGTTGGTAGCCATGGTGGCCATTGGGTGGCTCATGGGATATCCTTCTGTCACAACTCTGTGTTTGTGCGTGCGTGCGCGCGAAAGGATATAAAAACATAGGCACCGCTTAGAACAGAGGTTACGTAACCTGCCAACCGTGTCAAATCTCACCAAGCATTACTTCCCAATTGACCTCTATACAATCGTCTGGTATCCATGGCAACCGCTGTTACTGGGACGATCGCCTTTCCGGGCTGTGAGCGGCGTATGGATAGAATTACTAAATCCACCCTTTACATATCAGCATTTACATTCCCAGCAGAGATCAGACTTAATCTTATCGCCTTTACGATGTTAAATGTCTACTTTGGATTAACAGTTTTCTGCAGCCTACCAAAATAGGTCAACCTTCCACTGCACGAGGGAAGCACGTGCTGGCTGAGTGCATACCTCTCCATGAATCTGTTTCAACACATCAAAGAGTATATGTTCATAATCTGCCAATAAAACACTTTAACAATTTACTAGGAGCAATTTATGCCTTATATTAACGTTACGCTTGAAACAGACAAATGATTATATGGAAACGGTTTCTTGCCGCCGATATGCTAGGAAGAGCATGGCTGAAGCATGCTGACTAGACTAAGGCTTAGTCTCTGAATATATATAATTTTGATAGTAACAAACAAGCCCATTTAAATTGAAAAGGAGCCCTAGGGAGACCAGAGATTCTGCCTGAACCTGGGGAAATCTAGACTTGCTTTATTTAGGGCTTTAGCATTGCAGAGAGGGCTTGGCAGTAGGGAAAATAATGTGGTTCAGGGACTGTGAGACAGACTACATGTTGAAATGCTCCCGTAACTGCCTCGGGACAGGATGCGGTGGGTTGGAAATAGACCAACGCTAAGTCTCTGAGTAGTATACTTTTGACCAAAAAAACACACAAATAATTCCTTCGAAATTGAAAAGGAGCTTCAGTAAAATAGAATATTGAGAAACTAGATGCACACCCTTTCTGCCTAACATCCACCTAGACTAACGGTTAGTCTCTGAACATATATACTTTTGATAGAGACAAATAATCATTTTAAATTGAAAAGTCGACCCAGTAAAACAGGATATTCAGAACTAATCTAACCGTGCTTCATTTAGGGCTTTAGCATTGCGGTAAGTGCTTGGCGGAAGGGGAAATAATGCGATTCATGGACTGTGAGACAGACTGGATAGGCCGAGTCTGACTGGGTTGTTATACAATGCACGTTGGTGTGTTTTGTACATGCAGAACACAAGTTGAAGAACTCGGAAAACGTAAAATGGCGGTTACATTAACACCGGAGTAATTCTAAATTGCATTTTTACATTGTACATGTACAAAAAGGGTTTAAGGTTGCCTTGCTCCAAGGCTGTACAGAATGCTGAGCCCATGGATGTATAGTAGTTCTTCCTATCGAAGGGGCAAGTCTAAATAAGCGGACCCCAGTCTGTTATTTATTATTTTTTAGAAATGTTCATTCATACTATTAATTTTTATCTTAGAGACTTGTGCAGGTCTAGGTTTACGTGAATCTTCCCCAGGGCAGTCTATTTGTAAATGTCGGAAACATGCATTATTCATGAGACATCGATCAAGGCTTCTGTGGGAATTTATCATGCATGACAATATAAAAATCACAATGCTCATTAACGAAAAGGTCAATCTGTCCTTCTATGTGATCTTGTCAAGCATAACAATCTCTATGTTCATTCAATTCAGAGCCAGTCAAAACATTGTCCGCTAGAAAAACGGATCATCAGACAGACTGATTTTAATCTCTGAATACATAAAATCTTGAGAGAAAAACATAATTCCTTCCAAATTTAAAAGGAGCCCCAGTGGGATGGGTGATTCTTGAACAAGATGAAATTTAGACTTGCTTCATTTAGCGCTTGAGCATTGCAGAAAGTGCTATACGAAAGGGAAAATAATGGGTAGAGGGGCTGTGAGACAGACTAAGGGAACACTACGAACACTAGTGACGATCAACATTCCATGCACGAAGCGTGACGACCCTGTCCAAATCGCTGTCTCCCTCAACACCCCCCTCTTTCTTTATATACGCCTTTAAAAACAAACATTATAAACACATTATAAACGCTTGACACATTGGTAAAGTATTTCATATCCAGCGTTTGGAAGACAAGGGAACACACATACGAAAGCCTGTCTCACAGTCTCTGAACCACGTTATTCTCCCTTCTGTCTAACCCTTCCTGCAATGCTAAAGCCCTAAATGAAGCAAGTCTAGATGTCCTCAGATTCTGAACCTCCCCTCTCACTGGGGCTCCTTTTCAATTTAAAAGGAATTGTTTGCTTTTATCAAAATAATACATATTCAGTGAGTGAGTTTAGTTTTACGCCGCACTCAGCAATATTCCAGCTATAAGGCGGCGGTCTGTAAAAAATCGAGTCTGGACCGGACAATCCAGTGATCAACAGCATGAGCATCAATCTACGCAATTGGGATAGGATGACACCCGATCCTGCAAGTCGCCTCTTACGACAAGCATTGGTTGCTGAAGATCAATTCTAACCCGGATCTGCACGGGTACCAAAACTAGTGTCTCTGTGGAAGTATACATGTACAAGCATTCGGAACACATGGTGACAAGTTAAATATAGCCGGTTATTTTTTGGATTCCGATTGTTCATTCATGTGCTAAATGTGTATGAGTAGCCGTGACTACATGGTGAAACTGTCGCTCCCCACAGACAACGCTGTATGTGAATGGAATAGTGATTGCTTTGATGACCCCATTGCAATGACTTGTAGGTCATGCTGGCCAGTGAATGATTACTTAGTAATTTATGTGACATGGGTTTGTAGCGTACTTTGTATCATACATATCTAGACACGACAGCAAGCGGCAACACCTTGCAACATAAAATACACACACACACCGTCTGAATGAAACAGGCATAATTGTTCATTTTACATTCAGTCAGTTGAACAACACATTTAGTGCATTGTTCGCCAACAATTACTCAGTGAATGTGGTTAATCATATATACGCGCTATTGAAAGACTGTGTGGACATGAAATTGTGATCTGTTTCAGAAAAACAAACATCCCAGTCAGATGGCGATGATAATCATACGAATGAGTGAGTTTAGTTTTACGCCGCTTTTAGCAATATTCCAGCAATGTCACGGCGGGGGACACCAGAAATGGGTTTCAAACATTGTACTCATGTGGGGAATCGAACCCGAGTCATCGGCGTGACGAGCGAACGCTTTAACCACTAGACTACCCCACCGCCCCGATAACCATACGAAGTAACCAACGCGGTACTATAACATTATCAGCATGATATACTGTTATGACGAGTTCAACTTGTGACGACTGGTGTTCGTTTGTCTCATAGTACCGGAATCACATTATTCACCTTCCGCTTGCCTTTTCCCCTTTCGAAAACCAAAAAAGAAGCAAGTCTACATTTTCCTCAGGATGTGAATCTCCCATCTCACTGGAACGCCTTTTCAGTGTAAATGGAATTATTTTAATCGGAAATTATAATATATATTCAGTCACCAAGCGTTAGTCTGGGTGGATGTTAGAACACCATGGGGCTGAAGTCAGGGGCGGGGTGGGGTGAAGGTCACTTTAGGGGTGAAAGGGCGTTGCAGTAAGGTGAAGGTCGTCACATATAATTGTGGCAAGGGTGTGGGCAGGCTGGGATTACTAGCGTCACAGTAGTGTGGAGGTTGTGATGTGTGGATCTCAGAAACGTGATGGTACTTGTAATTTGTCTGTCTCATCGCTGTCTAGTTCCGCTCTCGGCAGTATTCAAGCATTCGTAGACTAAGATACTAACTCGATACGTAGACTAAGACCAATCACACCATGTAGGGGCCGCCTCCGTGGTGCAGTGGTTAGAGCGTCCGCCCGGAGAGCGGAAGGTCGCGGGTTCGATCCCCGACCGCGTCATACCAAAAGACGTTAAAATATGGTACTTGTTGGTCCCTGCCTGGCGCTCAGCATTAATGGGTACAACAAGGACTGGTCGGCTCGGAGTCAGTATAATGTGTCTGAGTGGGGTATTCATGCTTCACTGCGGCATGGTATCTCAGTGAGCTAGCACTATAAAACCAGCTTAAGTCTGGGCTAGTACAAGCAGCCGCACATACACATACACTCGCATGCACGTCGTCTTATGAACGGAATATTCTCAAGCACGACGTTAAACCCAATTTCACCTCACCTCACCTCACACCATGTAGATTGAAACCTAAACCCAATGAGCGGAGATACAGTGAGTGGGGGGCGTTAAATTTAAAATTACTAATATTTCAGCCATATCGAGACGAGAGAAACGTATCAATCCATAACAAATACATGTATATGTAACCCGTGAAGATCCGGGTTAGAATATTGATCTTCAGCAACCCATGCTTGTCGTAAGAGGCGACTAACGGGATCGGGTGGTCAGGCTCGCTGGTTTGGTTGACATGTCATCGGATTGCGTAGATCGATGCTCATGCTGTTGATCACTGGATTGTCTGGTCCAGACGCGATTTTTTACAGACCGCCGCCATATAGCTGGAATATTGCTGAGTGCGGCGTAAAACTAAACGCACTCACTCACTCACTCACATGTATATGTGCCATGCCGTGAGTAAAGCAGATCATACGTTAATATTGAATGATATTGTTTTAAATAATAATCTGTCGACAAGGACAGCAAAACAACTTGAATATAACAGGCAGCGAATTAAGACTAGAATGTAACTCAAACAGTATTTCACTTTTTAGGACAATACTATATTATATCGAGATATCCGAAATATCGAGACATCCGTATCGAAATAAAAGAGCTTGAATAATGATAAATTATGAAGGATTTTGCCGGGGCCGAGATGTTATATCGAGACAACCGAAATATCGAGTTATCAGAGTCGCAAGCGACAGAAGGTCGATCACCATACTGCTGACCATGGGGACTTGTTATATTTAGGGCTTTTGCATTCAGAAAAGATTACCGGGTCTTCAGGGTGGGAGGTGAGAGTGGTTGGCTCAAGGGGGTGGGATGGGGATTATGCTATATCAGTAGTAATAGAGTACGGGATTCGGAGATGGTTTAGCGTGATATCCACGTACATGCAGCCATATGAAAGTATGAATGATTACAGTCCGTACGGTTAGGCAGCGCTTGGGTGAGTGAGTTTAGTTTTACGCCGCATTTAGCAATATTCCAGCAATCTTACGGCGGGGGACACCAGAATTGGGCTTCACACTTTGTACCCATGTGGGAAATAGAACCCGGGTCTTTGGCGTGACGAGCGAACGCTTTAACCACTAGACTACCCCACCGCCCAAGGCAACGCGTGAAGTAACTGCGAAGTTAATGACGGCAAAATGGCATGAACAGGTCTGCTGATGCCACGTATCCGACATCCGCACATTTACACAAGACAGATCAGCGAT